TCCTGTTCTTAAGCACTGAAGTTTGAGTTACAAGTTGCATTTCACGAACACAATCAGCAACTTTTAGGACTTGTAATCAAGGTTTCTGCTAAAGCTTGCACTTTTTACCTGGGAATGTATAATACACGATTCGTACTGGAGGCGCAAAACGGTAAATTGGTGCCAGAGTGGTGTTTGAAGGTATCACTGACTCGGTATATCGGTAAGCTACCGCGAGTCATTATATAGGGCAAATGTACATTCATTCGCCTCTAACGATGCTAAGTGAACTCGAATGCATGACGCATCCCTCAGCGATTTGTCAACGTCGAAATCTTTATACTTTTTTTAAAATGGTTTATACTGAGTGATTATAAACAGTTATCTTCTGTACAACGCCTGCATTTTATGATAAGCTGTTTACCACGGTTTTTTTTGCGTATTTGATGAGAGGCTCGTAACACAGCGGCATGATGTCGTTCACTATAAGCAGGGCCCCGGTCCGACATCTGGGTCAACCAAGCATCCATCGCACCGATGTCGTGAAATTGTACTAGAGCTGTCTGGGATCAGCTCACTTCCCATAACGCACTTGGGAAAGCGCTTTCGTAGCCACGCCGGGGTTTCTGGGCGAACCAACTTGGGTAGCATTTGATGGGGTTCATGAACAGGACAAAATCCTCGAATTGAAGCCGAATCTACGCGCAAAAAAATTCGGTTTTCGTGACGGTGGATGTAAAGGAATGAATTGGAAGCAAGAATTGCTAGCTAGGTTTCTCCACATAGTATGTCATGTCGGCTTGTATAGAAAAGTGTCTTAAATAGTGCGTGTAGCACAGAGATCAGAAATGCTTTGCAGTGCACACGTGATCTTAAGTTCGATGGTTGGACTTTGCGCCGTAGCCAAATCAATGCCGTTCATTCTGCGTCATTACAATCTAGGCCTAAAATATAGTGTGGAGCTGCATTTCGAACGTGATTAAGGAGCCATTCTAACCACTCGATATAATCGTCAATGTCAAACACTGAGGCCGCTTAAATGTCTAACTCTGGTTGCGTCTTCCTCTAGCCGGTAAGATCGTCTAGGGTCTAAGTACACCTTAGCATTGAGTACATCTATAATATGGGTCATTATTAGTGTACTTCGACTCTCTGAACTTCTGATGATTCGATTGTATCGAAATCATCTATTGATTGCTGCCTGTACTAAATAATTTTTTAGCACTTCTTAAGCGGACATTTTCCATTTGTGTGTCGGGCTGCGCAGTCGGTTGCTGTATCCGTGATTCAAATTCCTCGTCTTTTTGTGTTTGTTGCAATTAGGTGTGATCATGTTCATTTTCAAGAGTTTTCACGAACTGGCGTTTTATGCGGGCTTTACATGGGGTTATCTGTACATGGGTGTTTTCTGCGAGCTATATAATTTGTATGATAAACTCGGTTGTTCTGCTGTAGTTTCGAGACGTGCATCACACGGAATAATCAAGGTGCGATCTATCTGCCCATTTGTGCTCGCCAGATCACTCCCGTTGATGGGCGATTGCTGATGGCACCGTTGGGGTAAAAAGCTGGCTGAGGGAAAGGAACAGTTCTTCGATGTCGTGGACGGCGTTGAATGGGCAGCGTTTTTCCGTCTCAGATAGTGCGATGACATTGTACCCTATTCTTCTTGCTTGCGAGACCAAGTCCTGTATCAAAGAGTTAGATGCAAATGGACGTGCATTGTACTTTCAGATCGTCACATTAACCTTTGAAACTTAGGCACCCTATAATGGCGATGAGATCTTAACAGCCTTTCCCTACTCCATCTAATCAACGCTGCCGTACCGTGAACTCTTTCGAAGTCAGGAAAATGAGGCCCGTTTATTTTACTGTTTAGCTTTTTGCTATCCACATATTGCTTGCTGAGCTCTGAAAATGGGAGCTGGGTATCCTTACAGGTAGCATGCCAGTCTCCTCTAGAGTAGAGGTTAAACTTATTTTTTGGAGGCGACTCCTAGCGGCCCCCTCACATACTTCGCTGTCACTTGATTGCTGGATTTTGGCCGAATTGACTCGTAGAATACAATCCGCATAAATGAGAACACAACCACGCACGCATACGTCTACAGATGACATGTACAAAATCGGCGCGGCAGAAACAGTGGTCCATTCCTGGACCCACTTGCGTTTTAGGGAAGTAAAGTTCGCTTTTCGTCCGCGATTAACACCCTATGCTCCACTTAGAGACAAGACCGTTGCTTGGCGACTAGCAAACATGGGATTCCTCCATGAGGGAGATTATTTATCTTATCATGGTTTATCTTGCACACGGTCTGTTAGTTTTCATGAATTTCTGTTTCCCAGCTTTGCCATACTGCGTTCTCCATTTTCTCATTAAATGGAAATCAGTATCTTCGACCGTTTTATTAAGATCGTGACGAACACGCCCATAATGGGAGTTTGATTCTCAAATTTTCCATGGTCGACTTCAATGCAAATGTAGAAGCTGCGCAAGAACAAAAAACGGGAGAATTTGTACCAGGAAATTGCAACTGAAATGGATCCGTCTTGTGGACATGTAGTCTCTTCCATGGAAACCCTTTTAAGGGAGCAAAACCCATCACTACTGGATGTGGGGTCCTCTAGCACAACTGCTCTTGCGGAGAACAATCAAGCTGTTGTCAAGAGAAAGTGGAGTCTCTTGTCCCTGTCGTCTAGTCTACTACGGGTAAGACCATCAATTTCTTCGCGCAAGGATTTTCTTTAACTGTAAAATGAAAACTAAATCCACCAGTGGTGCTAAACAAAAAAAAACAACTCGTAAATAAATAATGGATTCTCAGCGATGCTATGCCCAACTATCACGCCAAATCTGTGCTGGGTAAGCTACGCTTAAGTCAAAAAGGAGCTCTGAACGTTTATCAAGTAAGACTAAGGAGCTTCAGAAACAAGAAAATATTTCCGACAAGATCCTGCTATTATGTATATCGAGCGGATGGCCGTGAACATAATTTGAAAGCAGTGGAGGAGGATCTTCCTCAATACCGACAGTTAAGGATTTTTAGGCAGCACAAGAACAAGAAGGCAGCAAAGAGAAATTACACAGAAATCTCCACGAATACAATATTCCGCCTTCTACTATGCTTGATAGACCAGCTACAATCCCTGCTATAAGGTTGGATCAATAACAAGATTCTTCAAAGACCTTCTGGTCCGAAGTATCCTGTAACTAGACAACTATTCCCACTGGAGCAACACAAAGAAGAGAATTCTTTTGGGCAGAAGTCCAAGGCAACTATAAACTTGACACCTGGCATAGTCGGACTGAGGAATATCTTAATTAATCTTCTACTATCTGGCAATCATCACCATTACGCTTGCAATACACATGGTATATTTAAATGGAACAGTTAACGAGGAAGAAGGCACTCTGTACTGTTATTTTGTACAAAAGGAGTAGCAGAGATTGTCCTGGCAAATACAATAAATGAAGCTTAAATTACAGGGTAATTATGATTTTGCAAGAACTCTATCTTTATAGATCACGTACAAACATTCAAGAGTGTAAGTCTCACCATACCGTACCTCCTGTTCGAAGACTTTGTGGAATATGAGGAAAACTCATCGAAGGCAAGAAGTGCTGGGATCCGATCAGTAGATGTGATGACGAATCATACAAAACAAAAAGAAAATACCGAACTCTTGAAATTACCATCTAAATGTTGGACTTCTTTACAATCTACGATCTGATTTATTGACAACAGTGTAGTTCCTCGAACAGAATTGCAGAAGCAGACTCGATCCCGAGGAACTCACCTCATGAGGAACGCATGGTGTGAAGAACAGATTAGATGAATCTCCACTTGAACAGACCACATTCTACGTATACTTATTTCGTACAATGAATACACTTAACAAGCTGAAAGAAGAACTCAGAAGACAATGAGCACTGTGCTCTCTAATCGACCTTCTAGCGGATATCGCTAAGGAACTTATTTATCCCGACCAACGCGCTCACTTAACATAGCCATTCTTCTAGTTGTGCTAAGCAGCAGAAACGTGTGCTTAAAGTTCGGTCACATCGAAAATGCGTATGATGCAGAGTGGTCACGTGATATCTTTGGAAAATCATCTAGCACATCATTACCAAGCGGCATGCTTTTTCTTGTGCGTTAGATTTTAGGAGAATTTCCTGCCTTTGAAACCCACGGGAGTCGCAAGAAATAGGAATCGATGTGCTGGTAACACACTGAGAAGTGAAGACGGTTGATGGACGAGAAGGAGATAAGAGTGTGTACCAACAGAATCGAAACGATCTCGAAACATAAAAAGATTCTTTGCACGTGTGAGCTAGCTTTATTCGCATCTGTAATAAGCTTTGAGAACCTCCATCCGTGGCTGAACTCGAATACGACCATCTCTATGGACGATAGTTCCAGAACAACGTAACAAACGGACGTTCTAGTAGGCACATGAAATGTGAAGACAGAGTACTTACATTGAGATGTTGTAAGAAAAATCTATTCACCGAGCCACGTTTAAGTAGACGCAAAATGAACTGTAAATGAAGTCGCTCAAGGAATTCGTTGTTCCTTGAATATCCACAGACTCATTCATGTATGTAAGCAAAGGAGAAGAGTAGCTACACACAGCACTAGCCTGCTCGCTTCATATAACATTCATGCATTCCAAGATAATCATAGTGAACTATCGTCATTGTGGCCAGTTTGGTTTGTTGTTCTCGTCTTCCATGCAGGCGGTGAGATATGTACTGACGGCCCAAGGTCTAATTATAAACTTTGAGGATCTCCAGCCGCGTTTTTTTTTTTACCAAGTACAAGTTTTCTTCTCAAATTTTATGATCTATTTCTCATAATTTAACAGCCATTAGCGTAGCATATCTTAGTAAGACTGGGAAAATAGCAGATATGTCAGAAAACTAAGTATCAGTGAGCCAATTTTCGTACTAGATTATATATAGTGATAAAATATTCACAACGTAAAACTTCTGAGTAGTGAGCCCTAAACAATGCTCAGTTCTACGTTCCACGTTTCTGTGTGCTCATCACCCAACTTTCCTCAGCTCGTCGCACAGCACTTGGAATCAAATCGTCCGTCTTCGATCTATAACATCCCAGCAACTTTGCGCAGTGCTGCTTTCCGCTCGATATCGCATCCATCTAGAAGTACGATAACATACTCATCTAACTTTATAGTAATTATTCCAAAGATAACGTATACTATTGAAATGGGGCGAAGTCATTGCTGTTTGTACGAAAACTATCTTCAAATCGTAAAATAAGTCTTCTTCGACTATTAAAATCGCGTTGACTGGTGATTGCTGATGGCACCATTAGGTAGAAAACTAGCTGAAAGAAAGTCAAAGCAAGGGCTTCAACGGTGCAGTGTGTAACGTGCGAGCCTCCGAAAAGTGTAATCGTGGTTCCATTTCGCCTGGGGCTCCAAGTTTTGCGAATATCTCGACGTCATTGTGATTGTAACTCATACCTCACTTAATAGTGAGCATTATTGAAAAAGAAAAAAGGTTACACGCTACAAACACAGCAAAAAGATATAAGCTTCTTATCTTGCCACGATGTCATTCTAATTTTCCAGAGCTCCAAATGCTTTCTTCTTGTCGGGCTCGTATTCGAAATAGTTAAAGAATTGAAAACTGCTATTTTATTTTCTCTCAGCAATCGCGGGATTGTATACGTTTACATCCACTTCCACTTCCATACTTCCTAATAACACAAATACAACAATCGTAGCTGAAGTCTCGGCAGAATCTATAGGGGAAAGCTGGTCACATACGAGTCAAGCCTGCATCGAAAGCGATTCTGCCGAAACATCAGTTACGATTGTGTTGTATCTGTGTTATTGTACAGAAGTTAACGTATGCCGTTTAAACCATGCGATTTTTTATTTACTGCCTTTTTCTTTTTAATGGCAGGGTATGTTGCGAAATATAACTCGTATATAATGCTTAGATATTTGCAAAACTCCGGACCGCAGGCGTGTGCAGTGGGGAACGAACACGCGCTGTTGTGCTTACCGGAGAGCAGCGCACTTCACCACCACACCATCCGGGTCCTTCCTTTTGCCTGTCTCTCAGCTATTGTTCCTAGCGATTGTTACAAATAAGTAGCGGATGTCTAGCGCTGTCAGTCGTTCGTTAAAATTTTGGAATTTCGAATAATTTTTCTTGAACATCTCAGTTTTGACGCATTGAAAACTAAGTATAGTGTTTCCCACGTGATCAAAAAATTATACTAGGTAATGGATAAAGCTCTAACCAGGGTAGAATCATCAATTCCAAATTAAAAACGTTCTCCGGGTTTCTTCGTCAATACAAGATGCAGGGACTCGTCATCGGATTGACATCACTAAACAGAAGACCTAGCAAACTCCTTATCAGTAGTAGTTTTTGTCAGCAGAGATATCATAGTACGTTCACCAAAGGAAACGATGTCTTGCCGATGGAATAAATGACAGGAATAAAATAGTCCAAAAAATGTTTCCTTTTCTCCGCCTATGCCTTATACAACACATATGATGACATCAAATTGAATATGAAAACACTCAATGTTGTCTGGGAAAAGAAGTATCGGGAGGAGAGCTAGTCACATACCAGTTATGCCTGCACGAATTTGTTAAACAAATTTAGAAATATTTTGGAAAAAGTATGCAAACAAACGATAAAGGTATTTCAAGTGAAAGAGCAGTGTCTCTGCGTCTCTTCAAAACATGAATCTGAATGTTGTTAAATGTTCTAGTAATCAAAAAACCACTGGCATTTGTTGAAGAAACAGCATCGCTGCTAATATGCTTTAAAAAAGCGTCTTGACTATGACGTGACATCACACTAATGTTTACCAATAGCGAATGAGACTGAGGGATTCGACATTGGTAGCAGCTAAACTACACTCTCATCTTTCACAGACAAAGGATGAAAGGACAACGCTCTCGGCGTTGATCTATCCCTGAGGGATGCGCCATGCAGTCGACTTCACTAAGCATCGATGTGGGCTACTGAATGCATGACTGGCCTTTACAATAACTCCTGGTAGCCTACCGATGTATCGAGCCAGGACTACTATCCTCCCAAGCAAGTCTGGTACCAATCCGTCGACCCCGGGAGAATGGAGGTTTTGGTGGGTCCGAGACGACGGGATCAATCTCATATTTATTGCAAGGCGCATTCGACCACTGCGCCACACACATCTCTTTCTAGGACATACGAAAATTAAACCTTTTTTTACATTATCCCTTAAATACCAAGTATGAATCATCATTCTGTTTAATTTTTCGCAATGTTAATAATTTCTACACACTCTAATCATTAAAGAAAGTATAAGAGTGAACATTTGAAAGGGAAGTTTGTAGTTTGTTATACCTGCATAAGAAGATCATATACTGTCTCGTCGGGAACACTGGAATCATGCTTGTAGGCGGGGTGCTGATCCACAAAACACCGTATCCAATGGGCTAATGTCCATATTTCACCTGAGGCACGTTTCTAAATTGCTGACATCTCTTTCCATTCATCTCAACGATAACTTTCCAGACGTTTATTAAACTCAACCGAAATGAAATTCAGGTATTGTGAGACCGTACAGCGTGTATCGACGTCCATATCTGCACTATCGAGATACTGCTTGATAAGGGGAACCAGACCAGGAAACCCTTCCTCCTTGCCTAAGTTATCAGGCTTTGGAAACCGGAAAGCTTCAGTAAAACATATTGAGATGAACAAACCATTGATTATTTGATTGATTGTCATCTCCTCAATGTCTTCACTGGGTGCACCACATCTTGGTGACCCGTTCTGGTCAGGAGTTGATTTGCATGTGGCCAGGCTTTTTCTGAAGTGATCAATAATCGGCATGCATCATCCTGGTTAAGTTAATTCATTTCTTTCCATATCCTAAAGGGACGTTAACTACCAGTAAAAAAGCCATTATGCACCTAAAAAGGAATTTTTCACTAATAACAGCATCTCTTTTCTGGGCTCGTTTCATGTTCTCGGTAACCATGGAAATAGGCAGTAAGTATGTGAGTCGGAATGAGATTATCACTCTAAAATACATTGTATTATGGCATAGATGTTCGATCGACAATAAGAGCAATGTGCTTGGACGGACCTAGTCAATAAAACAACGAAACAGCAGTACGCGGCATTTTCAAAGTCGGTTAACTGCACCTAAACAACAACAGATATGTGGAAACATGAAGATAACGCTGGAACACAAACTAAGGGAAACCCACTTCCGTTGGTCTGAATTCGACACGCCAACCAATTTCGGGAGCGTCTGGAGGTGGAGGTTTGAACCGCATGTTCATCCAGTTAGATGACTGAATAGTTTCGAAGTGCTCAGTTGATTTTTCATCATCTTGCTGAATTCGTTCACGATATACCTGAACAGAAAACAGTTGGAGATGCACTACTTAGTCTGTTGTTTCAAACAAAGCAGAAAATATACACTACTTTCTTGCCACTGAAGAAGAAACGAATTTACTCAGATTGACAAATTGTTATCAAGTCACCTGTAATGGATCCCGTATAAACATATGGGCAATGTGTTTTGCAAGAGGTTCGTCGATGTTGCCATCTAATAACTGCCTAAAAGTGATTGCAGTGGCCTGTTATCTAAATGTCAAACATACAACAGCTGACTGAAAGGAGTTACTATTTACATAAATTTGGGGCTGTTACAATCATGTATCCTCCCAATGGCTTACCACCTCACCGTGGCTGGAGGGTGTTCATGAGTATCGGGCTGCGATGTACAGCGGGAGGCTTCATCTCCCAAGCTGAGGAATCCAGCGTTTCCATTAGGAAGGCCAGGTAAGAGTAAAGGAATACCAAGATCCACTACCGTCCTGATATTAGACCAGTCGCATGGCAAATCACACCCCACGATCCACAACGGCCGCGACTGCCCGTGGTTGTGACGACCTGGGCAAACTTTGGCCAGGCTGACGTTCCAGGGAACCAAAGTGGCTAAACCAGCCCAACTCCAAGAAAATGGAGATTATTTTGGGGTCTGCACAACCAGTGAAGAAGGGTCATCCAAACATCCATGTAAGTAGGAATCATGTATAAGCACATGATTAAGTTTATGAATAAACCAAAACACTCACTTAAGTATTGCCTCGTCGTACTGCAAAGGTATATCATTGTATGCCACTGAACATGGACATATGTAGCAATCTGTGGAATCATAGCGACTTTTTGCTATAGTCCATTTCGATTTTTGTAGTGGTACTAAACCACGCTCCTCAGCTGTCCGATCGTCAACGCTCTTCAAGGATGTAATAACGTATTAAACACGATTTACTCATAATTAATACTTGGCTAACGGTGAGGAAAATTCCACTATGTAAATACATACGGCACTGATGATATCCCATCGAGAGTCAACATTGGCCAGCTTGCTCCTGAAAATAGGGGTAGCTGCTGAGAGTGCGAGTAAGATTGGTGTAATAGGTGTAAGTTGATCATATAGCCATCGTGCTTCATCGACATTGACTGCTTGAAAAGTTACCTAAAGAGGTAAGTCACTAGAGGCTCTTATTGTCAATGCAAAACATCTTGAAAGCCTTTGGAGTTTGAAGACATATCCAACACTAAGTTTTAAAGCTTGTCCAATGTAAAGAAAAACGATGAAAGCTGTAGCAAGTACCTGTAGACAGCAGCATCCCATACCAAAACCCATGTGGTCCATGTAAATGTGGTCTGGCTTTGCTGCGCTGATCATGCTTCCTTCCCCAAAGGCAGATAAATCCTCCTAAAAGAACAGTTGCCATTGGAATAATTTTCAAATGTTCAGTTTAAAAGTAAAAATACGAGTGCATATCAGAAAAAAATAATGGGATTAAGTCTTAAATGAGGGAGGCGTTGCAAATACTTCGGGTTAATGCTGATTAAAAACGTATGCGTCTGCAGGAAAAAGAACTACTGTAAAACTGGTAATATACTTATTAGTATGGGCGCGTGTAGCGCATTGGTCGGAGGCACCCCGCAATGCACACGGGATTTCGGTGCCCAAGACTGACCAAGCTTTCATTCCATCCCCCAGGGTTGGCAAATTGGTGCCAAACTTGTCTGGGAGGATAGCAGCACTGGTTCGCTAAATCAGTAGGCCACCGCAAGATTTTTTAAAGGCCATATATGCATTCAGTTACCTCCAGCAATGCTTAATGAAGTCGAGTGCATGGCGCATCCCTCAGGAACTGATCAACGCCATTTAATAGAATATAAGCAAATAAAATTCGAAATACAAGCGTTGGTGGAACTTACAATATAGGGACTAGGCGTATTTACATCTTTGAATATGGGCACATTGATAGCCACCTTCTCTCCACGTCGACCACGAATATTCTTCACTAAGTTCTTGAATCTAAACATGAGCGCTTATTCCGCTAATGCATGAATTCTCCAAAGCTGTGATTCACCTAGGATGACCGCAAAAAACAGTATCCTCGGGCCAGAAGATACTTCGACCTGGGCCACTTTCATCATAGGGCGTCGGTCGCATAGGAGGGTCGGTAAAATCAAAACTGCCCAGAGAAGGAAAAGATATTGACAAAACAGACTCGTCCTAAAGGTTATGACCGGTTGATTGACGTATAAGCATACTAGAAGAAGAAAGGAATTCAATCCTACCTTCTTGAGTAGTTTCCGAACTTCAGTGCGACGAAATATCATATTTGCTTCAACAACATTGAAACACACCAAAAGGCCTGAAAATTCCGGGTTGTCTGCTTACCGAAAAGTGGAATTCTCTTGAAAATGTGACTGCCAGTCCCGATTCTCTAACGTCACTTCTCTCTGGCTGGCAGGTCTCATAATAATTCCCACGACCGAATTTCTGTTAACCTCGGCACAAGAGGTCTTATTTTATTCTTTATTCACGAACAAGCTGACGTTTCGGCTGATTTTTCCTTCCTCATAGCCTATAAAATTCATTTTACCTTATTTTCCCCACCCAGACACAACATCTTTCAATCAGCTGAACAAGACCTAGCTAAACCTTTCTAGACTCTGAGGAAGGAGAAACTCGCCGAAATGTCAGCTTGTTCGTAAATAAAGAGTAAGATAGCACCTCGTGTTTGGCCAGTAAGAATATAGAGAATCACTTCTCATACGTAATTTTATAGAAAACGTTTGAAAGCACGATTCAAGTTGGTACAAAAAAAATACCTCCATATGGAACTCCTGGGGTTCCCTCCACCATATAGGCAGCGAATTCAGGACGCCACAAGAAGCGATTCACAGTACCAACCATAGCATTTACCTTTAACATAAAAACCTGTCAGAATAAGATAGAAACGTCTATTACCAAAGGCCGTTCCTGAATGAACTATAGTTCTACACATCAGAACATTAGAGCATAGTTCTTGAAAACACGAATGCGTCCACAATCACACTCACATTTATTTGGTGAAAAAGGTACTCGTAAGAAAACTTCAACTTTATTGTACTGTAGAAGTACCACACAATGTGCTGAAGGATTGTGATTTCAAGAACAGTGCGATGTACTATCGAGACCCTAGCATAAGTGCTATGACAAATTACCTGTACTATTAAACAGCCGTGGAGATATTACAGCTATGAATGAGAACAAAAAAGTTCAATGTCTCTGGATAGAGGGAGTTTGTATCCTGAGCGGACCACCTTACTTGGATAATTGAACCGCTCATCTTCGCTGATTGCAAGGGTCCCAGCATAATTTCCATTTCTTCGGAGTTTTGCTGGTGTAGCCATTGTGGTTCCCTCGACTCCTGAGGTCAACCTAGCTAAAGTCTGCCCCGGGTCGTCCGCACTAGAGGCAGCCTCCCTTGTGGATCAAAGGGAAATTTGCCACCATGCATCTAGTTTGATACCAGAACGGTGGTGGATCCTGGTATTGGTTTACTCTTGGGTGGGCTTCCTGATGGAAACGTCGGACTCTTACTCAGCCTGGAAGACCCTTCTAGGGTGATGAATCCCTCCGCTGCACATCGCAGCCCAAAACCCAGGAACACCTTCCAGCCACTATGAGGCGGTATACCGTTGGAAGGAGTGGACCACCAAGTGTAACGAAGCACCTGCACGCTTCTGTATATAAAGACCACTTTATTTCTTTTAGCTCAAAATAGCCCCAGTAAACTGTTCAGGCGGCAAAACTAAGTAAAAATACAGGTTGTATAGGAATTGTATACAAACGGAAATTGTTAACATGTAATAGCCAACCTCCTCGGCTGCTTGAAGACGTCCCAACAATTCTTCTGCTCGGCACGACACACGCACCTATGAGGAAAACAAATAATAAATCATCTTCATAGAATAGCATAATATCAAATACCTTCTTATGTTCGTGATCAAACTTCACGATTGTGTACTCGATTTCATCACCCCATTTTAGCTGGTCTCCTTGACGATTCTTCAACCGATGATACAAATTGATAAACTGGGCGATACCGTGCTTCTGAAATGAAGGGTAGTTCGATCTCCATCTGCAACAAAACCCGCGTTTAATTCAGGAACCCTTGAAACTCAGAACAGCGAACATGAAGCGGTTATACTTACATAACCACTACACCACTACACTGTCTTGACGTACTTATAAAGCTAAAAAATGATAATGCTCCCTGCCTTGATCAAACCCTGATGGATGCGTCATGCATTCGACTTCATTTAGCATCGATGGAGATGACTAAGTTCATATCTTGCCTTTATAATGATTCGCGATAGCCTACCGATGTATCGAGGCAGTGCTGATATCATCCCAGACAAGTCTGGTAGCAATTTGCTGACCCCGGATGGATGGACGGCTACGTGCGCCTGCGGCGCTTGGACCGATCCCATGTGTATTGCAGGGCGCCTCTCACAATTGTGCCACACGCATCCTACACTGATTACGAAGTTACAAAAATCAAAATATTTCCTCCACTTTAGTATGAACACGAACTACACTGTTATCCCAATCACTGGATAAAATAAGCGCACTTTTAGAAATAAGCTCAACCTGTTTTTTTTCTGAAATATTGCGTTGAAAATAACCTTTTCACATATTCCTTAAACTTAAACACACCTTTATGTACTCCACATGCGGAACCGTTTCTGCCCAACTGAGCGGACTACCTTTCGTGAGTAGGCCCATAGTTCTAAGAAAAAATAGGTACGAAGTGATTCTCTTAATTCTAACAAGCAGAATAACAACGGACAAGAGAATTGGATGGTAAGGAGCCATAGTTCCTGATCGACAGAAAGTTTATGAAAGATGATAGTCAAGAGGGATTAAGTCCATAGAACAAACAAAGCAACACTTAAGCGGGCAGGAGTTGTTTTCTTTCACAACAACATAAAATCTACGAGTATGAGAGGGATACGATTTCCTCTTACACCAGCATCTCGCTTCCAAATGATTCCGAATACCACTTCGTTAGGACATTTCGCAAAACTCCACCGGTGTATTGAGTGGAACTAGTGATGAATTCTCGGATTATGTGCGTGTTTGAGTGTGTAATGTTGTTGTCTGATGTTCCTCGGTTCTGCGCTGACCAAAAAGCTTATCAGTCTCAAAAGGACAGACCCGGGACACCAAGATTGGGTTAGCAGATTCACATAACTGTTGAAGTAACTGTAATGTAACATCAACAATATTTACATTCTGGCTGATCTATTGTGCTCCACTGGAGTCCTGAGGTCGGTCTAGCCAAAGCCTTCTCTAGGTTATCACCAAAACAGCCAGTCGCCGGCCCTTGTGGATCAGAGGGAGATTGATACCATGCGACTACTTTGATACCAGGACGGTAGTGCATCCCAGCATTGGTTTACTCGTAGGTGTGGTTCCTAACGGAAACGCCAGACTCTTCAGCTTGGGAAACCCTGTTGGAGGATGAATCCCCCGCTCTACATCGCAACCCGACACCAAAGAACATCTCCCAGCAACGATGAGGAGGTTAACCGTTGGGTCCGAACGTCATCATGTGCGAAGCAGAGCATCATCATGGAACAGGCTAGTGCCAGAGAGAAACGAATGGAAATTGTAATTTGGTGAGCCGTATCGAACCAGGGATAATGTGTGTATTGAAGGGACTTACTTGCGAACTTCTACAGACAGTATTGAAGGGCCTTAGAACTTCTAAAGACACTCTAGAAAACGATAGTTAGAAATACCGATGCGGAGAAATTAAATGGCACGAGTTATGTAGAAAAAACAAAGAATACACTGTAGTCACTTTTCATCTACTCCCCACTCTTTTCTATGGCAGGATATGATGTGAAATATAACTACAACAATGCTGGGACATTTGTAACTCCGGAACGCAGGTGTCTGCAGTGGGGATCGAACTCGCTGCTACTCTTTCCGGGGCTAACGCGTTCACCCCTACACCATGCGAGCCCTTCGTTTCGCCTTTCTCTCAGCAGCATTTTAAACTATAGGTGCTAATACAATGCTGGCTGGCATTTCGGCGGTTTCGCCATCGTCGGAGCCGTTTTGTGGTTCTTAAGTGTTCCGGTTGTTACTGGAAACCAATCGCGCAGGGTATTACATGGGTGAGAAATGGGCCTAGCTCAGGTTAAAAGGTCGCACATTTTTCACCCATATAAGACTCCTTGGGGCTGGTCTCCAATAAAACTGGAGGACTTAAGAACAACAGAATGGCCCTGAGGACGGCGAAACCGCCGAAACGTCAGGCCACTTTGTATTGAGAAAACTTCGACGTTAACAATTCCATGTTTGCTTACCAAGAAAACATTGTGTTATGCCGGAGTTGAAAGAAAGTCGGTCCTGGGTACAAAAAATAGTAAAAAATAAGCGTGCTTTGGGGTTTGGGTGGTTCTCTAGAGCTCACTAGCGCTTATATTGATTGGTTCGGTGGCAAGTATAGGATGGTTGACCCAACGGAAAAGCATGCTGTTGACCTAGGTGAAATCTTGACGAAAAATACACCACAGGACATCCAGAACGATGTTAGGAATCGACAAACTCTTCTCAATCGAAACCCCTTGACAATCGATAAACGACAGGGAGCAACATAAGAACCAAAAACCATATCGCGCAGAAATCAACACATGGTTGCGCTACCACTGCTTTTCAACATTTAAGGAAAGGAGTTGCAGATGATTACGAAATCCGAAATGAAAAAAGAAGAAAGAAAAGTGATAGGAATGAAAGACCATTGGCAGAATAGAGACGAGAAATGATGAGTGGGCGGCGACGTAGTTCGCCTTTGTTTGCATTTCTTTTTACTTCCTCGTCGAACGGGATGGAGGGCTGGCGATGATCAACAGCCAAGTGCGCCATTCTGTATCAGGGGCGTGGCGGGTGGACGAGTTATCACACATCACACTCATTTCCCAGCATGACATCAGACAGCGCTCGTACTGGCGCAGCCTTGGTGTCATTTCGAGTCGGTTTTTTTTTTTGAAATTATGGCCTTTGAAGTGCTTTTCGAGTTCAGATGGGCAGTTCTTATTACTAGTACTGTTGTTAAGATACGTAATATGTGGGTATCGATTTTTCATTGATAAGCCAGTATGGGATCAATTAAACGAAGTAGAAAGCTTCGTTCCGCTCGGAAGCCGATTCTGAAAAGAAGCTCCATTCGGTTAACGTTTCGACGTCTTTGCCTTCCTCAGATCCGGATGGATCTGACTCGATGGTCGATAGTTGTCCCTCCGTCCGATGTCAGTCTTCGTGGTCGTATCGAGTCGAATCCATTGGAGCACCGCTCGAATGAACTACTAACCTTCACTAGTCAGTGGTCTTTTAGTACTGGACGGTTTTTGATTGACTGATTGTCCGTTGGGAATCGTTTGTACTTCTCTGGACAGTCCATAGTCCAGCAGTCGGTGCCATCATCAGGTAGCCCATAGCCAAGCAGTACTGTTTAAGAAATGGCTTAGTGAAACTACAATAATAATTTTAAATCCTATGGTGAATATTATTGGAAGTAGTGGTTTTTTGAGAAGGTAAAGTTGTCCTTGATTGTCTTTACCCAATGTGATGGTCGTTTTCAAGCAAATGAGAAAAGGTTTGTGTGAGCTATGATGGGTTGCTACGACGGAAGAAGCAAAGGTTGAGACAATGTGGTAGTTGAAATGGATCTTTAGGAAGCACTGTTTCAGGAGTATCCTGGTTTTCCTAGGAAGATTGTTATACAGCTGAAAGCTACGTAACCCTTAGCGGTTTCCATATCTCTGGGACCAGTTAACGTTTCAATTAAGAGCGGCAAATCCTTATTGTTATCCTGTGTAAGCTTTCCTTCATCGGCGAACGCCTTTGTTTCAGAAGCTTGTTCCCGACCTTATTTGTTGGTAACTTAAACTTTTACCTGAAATCTTGCTACCTATTACCTAGTACCCACCTAGTCCTATTTACTCTAATTACCTGAAGCAACTTATGTTGGTAAGTTCTTGCTTGTTCAGTACATTTTCATATGGTTCTCAGTGTTTGCAAATGTTGCTTGCCTAACCACATCATCTGTTGATGTCATGTTTCTGCTACTTTCACTAGGTTTTCTCAAGATGTCCATGGGTCAGTCCTTCAGTCGGTCTACCTTTATCGTCGTACTAGTTCACTTTATGAAGTATAGATGTGCTATGTACTGCTCTTCTATTCCACTGGGAACAGAGATGTATCCGCAGATCTTAACTGCAGTACAAACTCAGTTTGCTGATAGTGTTCTTACATATGGTTTTCTGAGCTCCATTCCTTCTTCCCTCTGTACCTTGTGCTTATTGGGATTGAAAGTTAAATTAAGTTAGTTAATTAAGTTATGTAAGATACGACTACCATGATGGATAAACCAAGCATTCACAATCATCTCATGGAAACTTAATTTCGAAGACCTCGGATTATGGGTTTCCAAACCCTTGCTTTTTCGGAACTACGTTTCACAGATGAGATCCACTTGCTTCTGAATCACAATTCATTGAATGTCGTGTTTCAAGAAAGCAGAAATCATTACTCAGTTTTCGAGAAAGTCACTTGGACTTTCATTATTTGTTAATTACAGTTGTTAGAGTACATTTTTATTAATGATTAGTATTAATGCCGTCATTTTTTATTTCATTTTTTATTTACTGCCTACTATTTTTTAATGGCAGGGTATTATGTTAAATGCAAGCATAGTGATGTTCCTGACTGCTGTTGCCCGCGGACGGAGTGGGGGTCGAACACGCTATTACCCTTTCCGTGGGCTAACGAACGAGTTCACCAGCTTACTTTGCGAGTCCTTCGTTTCGCCTTTCTGTCAGCCGTGTTGTTGACCTGTTATATTTATCAATATTAATGTTTTCGTTAGCAGTACAATTCGTTGTTTACATTATATATTACAAGTTACTTTGATTGTTTTCATTTTTAGGTATTCATCCCAGGTTGCTCGTTTTTCGGTGAGCGACCATATCCGAACAATTTGGGTCCTTCCAGTTAGTATTTGACAGGTTATAAAAGCTCTTCTGTCTTTACGTTTTTGCTCTTAGCTTTTTCTGCGGTTTTCTCTATAATAGCCCTTTCTTTTACAGAAGATGTCAAAGATTCCGGCTCGTGGGTTTCCGCTTCGCACCTTTGGGGGACTGCGATATGGTACTGCAGCATTAGGTGTTGCTAATCTCGGAGTCGTCCCACAGAGGTCCTTATCTGATGTTGTCGTTGAAATTGTTTCTGGACTATTTTATTGCTGTTTTTGTCATTAGCCTTCATATGAGAACCATGTTTTGTCGTCTCAAAAGTGGTCGCATTTGTTGTTGCCTATTTTGTTGAAACATACTTGGGAACGCGCCACGTAACCTCACCTGAGGGCGGGCCACTTAGCTTCGCGGCTAACCTGCTCTAGATCTCTCATATAAGGGTGATTCATGGGTTAAAACGTATATGTACTTACTTGGGTACTTGTATGGTTCGTCTTCACTGGTTATCCGGGCCCCAGTACAGTTTTTATTTTGCGGAGTTCAGCCGGTTTAGCTGTTGTGGTTCTCCGGAGTCCCAAAGTCAGCCTGGTCAAAGTCTACCCCAGGTCGTCACCACCACAGGCAGTCGCTGCCTTTGTGGATGAGAGGGAGATTTGCCACTATTCGACTAGTTTGATACCAAGATGGTAGTGGTTCCTCGTATTGGTTTATTCGTAGCTATGCTTCCTGATGGAAACGCCGGACTCCTTCGCAGCTTGGAAGACCCTGCGCTGGGGGATGAATCCATCGCTGTATATCGTAGCCCGACAGCCCGAGGAACACCTCCCAACCACGATGAGACGGTAAACCGTTTGGTTGGAGTTAAAACGTATATAGCTCTATGGGATATTTGGTTTTCTGTGCCCATAGCTCTTCCTCGTATAGGATGTTAGCATCTATTAATATTCAAAAGTTATTGCTTGTTAAGTGATCATTATAATTTGGAATGGTTTGGAATGTTTGTCAAATAAAAATATTCTCAGGTCCACAAATGACCTTCAAATTCACAGGATACGTGAGTAGAAACTAAACATGGAGAATTTTCATTTTGCATTAAGTGACAAATGTGAAAGCTGAATGGTTTAACTCAAATTTCGTCAGTAGAAGCATCTCAGTTCGAAATCCATTCTGCCCTTGTTGATTGTGGACAAGTTCAGCTGAACTGTTAACAGCGCTTAGTTCTTATACTAAGCTTCTGAAGTGGTCCTAAAACAAACAAAGTATTTCACACAACCATATGATTAATGATCGATCCATTTTTATTATGGAAAGCTTTGATGAATAAGCGAAGAGGATCTAAAACGACTTTCTCTTGATTGCATAAGTTTTCTATGCTGTTTAAAATATGATTATTTAAACCGATTACGGTCAGGAGCAATTTACCTCATTTTATCCATTTTCAGTCGTGTGGCATCCTCGTCACGGTGTTCTCCGCTGTTTGGCGGGAGTCCACAAAATCATGTTTCTCGGGCGACGGGTGCTGTATTTGGCGTTAGATCGTTCAGTTCAGGTAAAGAATTTTAATCTACTTCTCACCATTCAACTCAGAGCTTTAAACAATAAGTGAGCAGGGGAGGGATGTTTTTACACCTACCTAATTATTTGGATAGCCTGTCTTTACTGGTTGTGTGTGTGCGGGGGGGGGGGCAGCAACATTTGCATTTTTCGGAGTTTTGCTGGTACAGCCATTGTCGTTCACTGACAGTCGTCGCCGTTGTGGATCAGAGAGAGATTTGCCACCATGCGACTAGTTTGGTACTAGGACGGTGGTGGTTCTTGGCATTGGTTTACTCTTAGCTGGGCATCCTGGTGGAAACGGCGAACTCCTTCTGAGCTTAGGAGACCCTGCTGGTGGAATGACTCGCTTGCTGTACATCGCAGATCGATACCCACGAACACCTCCCGGCTACGATCTGGCGGCAAACCGTTGAGAGGGCACAATTCTAATTATCACATAAAATTACTTGGGTTTCAGTGTAGAATACTTTGTTATGGTTGTTTAGTGAAAACGATTATAGAAACATTGTTCTGTCGGCATTATATCAGTTTTCTGAGACACTACATTATCGTGTAGGTAGCTAACACTCCTATCGTTAAACAGATTTCGCACTGAAAGATGAAGATTTCGCACTTTTTTCGCTCATGAATTTCTCCCATAGCTGTAGAAAGCACCGTCAGAGGTGAAGTCTCGCCATGATAAATGGATATTCCCGTTCTATTGATCATTTTGCCAAACAACATCGTTTTTTTAATGGGGTTTTCTGCACACTGGTTTTGTATTCTATGGATGACCGTAGATTTTGTATTTTTAAAGATATGCCTCCACATAAACGAGTAGCATTACCTGCTCTTTCTCCGACTATGGAGCACGGTACAGTTGTCAGTTGGCAGAAGGTATGTCTCGCTTATTACTACTTTTTCACTGTTTTGAGGGTATTGTTTGTTTACCAAATAGAAAATAGGACGTAAGTTACGAACATTTTAGCCACTTCCGTATTTTTCACGGTTTTGATTGTTAGAAATCTGCTAATGGGTTTAACGGATGAAACTGTTTTTTAGCAAGAGGGAGATCAACTGAGTGAGGGTGACTTGCTTTGTGAAATAGAGACAGACAAAGCTACGATGGGTTTTGAGACGCCAGAAGAAGGTTACCTTGCTAAGATTGTCATTCCCGAAGGTACAAAAGATGTTCCAATTGGAAAGGTCTGTTAATTTGTGGATCTATCCTTTAATTCTGATTTTGTTTAATGTTTGCATCTACACGTTAGCTTATTTTTAGTTGCTTTGTATCATTGTTGAAAACGAATCCGACGTGGCAGCATTCAAAGACTTCAAGGACGATGGTAGCGGAGCTCCAGCTCCTGCTCCATCAGCAGCGACATCTGCACCACCTCCAAAAAGCACACCATCTCCACCACCTTACCAGGTGGGAATGTTTGAGTTTTGAAAGAGGTATTATTTTTTTCTTTATTGAAGTTTAATTTCTAAAGACTGTTGGGGGAAGAGTTTCACGTTGAGCTCAGTCTGTTTCACTTAATGAACCGTTTTTTAAAAAACAAGGTTGGCTTGCAAAATAAGTGTGCTAAAAAGAGGAACGACAAAGTTGGTTCGTTTAAATTTTAGACATTTGCGAATGTTTGCATATAAGCATAACACTACTCCGTAAAGTTTTAGACAAGATACAAAACAGTTGCCTGCCGTAAAATTAAAATAAAATTGGTCGATCTATTAAGTCGGTGTAGTTGCAATACAACTAAATTGTTTGTTCTGGTGATTTTTTTTGCCTATCTTACTGCCATGAAGCTGCAAATTTTGTATGAAAGGTACATAACTGTTTCAAGCTACCGAGTAGTTGTACAGCTTTGGCTTTCGCATTGCTAAGAAATCCGGAAAATATTCTTTTTGCGAGTCGAAGATAATAAGAACAGTGCAACTGTTTAACAAGTACAACCACAGTGATGCTGTGATATTTGCAAAACTCCCTACTACAGGTGCCTAAGTGGGGATCGAAGTCGCTATTACCCTTTCTCTGGGGTCTAACGCGTTCACCACCACGCCATACAGGTCCTTTGTTTCGCCTTTCCCACAGCTAGTTTTCTAGTGTTTCACATGCTTACAAAATTGTCCAATAAGCAGTAAGTTCATTCGATCTTTTCGCATTATTGGTGTGTTTTCTAGTAAGGGTTTTGATAACTATGCGATGCTGAAGCACTCTTGTCTTGAAGCAGCTACTGCTTTTTTGTGTTAATGTGGTTATTTTTTGGGTCTTTTAAAAAACATTTTTTTCTAGACCACAGCACCTCCGCAGCCACTGCCACCACCATCACCTTCATCTGCTGCAGCACCTGGTGGGCGCGTAAGCGCTACTCCTTATGCGAAGAAGCTTGCCAGTGAACAAGGTCTTGATCTTAATGTGAGATTTTTCGGGTATATTTGTTTCGTCTGATTTCCTTTCACATTGTTTCCTTCTGCTTTTAGGCAGTTTCGGGCACAGGTCCACACGGACGTATCCTAGCATCTGATCTTGCAAGAGCTCCATCTACAGGCTTCGCTGGATCAGCAGTAGGCAAGGCAGCAGGAGTACCTGGTGCTCAATACACCGTAAGTGGTGTGCCTTTACTTCTTCCCTTTCTCGAACTTTCGATCTTATTTTGAAGGACATTCCTCTTACAAATATGAGACGCACCATAGCCAAACGATTGACGGAAAGCAAAAGTACTATTCCTCACTACTACCTCACTTCTGAGATTAATATGGATGCACTGCTCAAGTAAGAACGTTTTTGAAGTCACTATATTGCTTCCTAAACGGCACTTTAAAGAGGCTTTGTTTCTTTCAAGAGAAAATTTTGGAAGAACCACTCAAGTATGAATTAACGAGTGAATTTCATGTCATGCGTTAAATACTTTGTTTATTTACCTTAAGAATGAGATTTCGTTTGAATGGTCAAAAAAGTGCTGAGTTGTTATTTATTCCTAATCCGTATTGTTTTTCTTTTTGTAATTATGGCCACCTATTTTTAGGGTACGTGAAAAACTAAATGATTTGCTTGCTAAGGGCACTGTTGGAGGGACAAAGATATCGATCAATGACTTTATCGTTAAGGTTTGTTATTCGCCTTGTTAACTCATGTTGGAATGTAGTTTATATGTGTTGTGTTTATTCTTTGTTGTATCAAAAATGTGTTCTTAACCTATTTGGCGAGCCATTATTAGGCTTCTGCGTTGGCTTGCCTACGTGTACCCGAGGCAAATAGCTTCTGGATGGAGTCGTTTATCCGACAAAATAATACAGTTGACGTGAGCGTGGCCGTAAGCACACCTGCTGGACTGATAACGCCGATAGTTTTCAATGCCCATGCTAAGGTAAGAACCTAAGGTTGAATTTAGTGGTAGAATAAACGAATGTACTCTCTTGAGTACAACTGTACGTAGTGTAGCACAAGATAGCGCAAGGCGTTTCTAATAAGATTTAATCGCTGAGTTAAAGAATACAATAGCATTGGTGATTATCATTGCAAGATGCTTAGGTTTAGTCAGGCTGTCACACTTTACTGATCCGATTCAAAATTTTTGTTGAAGGATCCACCAGTATAGGTGGTTTCCATGTGTTTTCGTTCTCGAGCTTTTCAATATGCCTGTTTCTTTGTATATTGGGTATCTAGTTTTATTGTCAAAATGGATTTTGTAGTCTTAAGCGTTTACATTTTTCTGCCCCAAATATCTTAATAAAGCCCAGTGTGAGCCGAATAATGTTTTTTCAATGTTAAAATGCGACGTTCGGTTTCTCCTAACGGTTTACCACCTCGTCGTTGCTGGGAGGTGTTTCTGGGTGTCGAACTGTGATGTACATCGGGTACTTCAATCACCCAGTAGTGTCTTCTTAGTTGAGAAGAAATCCGGTATTTTCGCCAGGAAACTCAGCTAAGAGTAAACTAATACCAGAATACAACACCGTTCTGGTATCACACTAGTCGTATGATGGCAAAACTCCCTCCGATCCTCAAAGGCGGCGACTGCCTGTGGTGGTGACGACCTGGGACAGTCTTTAGCTGGGGTGACCACGGGATTGCAGGAAATCACGATGGTTAAACTAGCAAAACTCCCAGAAAGTGGAAGTTATGCTGTGGTGCACACTACTAGTGACGACGGGCCATCCAAGTATCCAAGTAAATAGGTAAAATGCTAAGTTGTGTTCGACTACGTATTCATTGAAATCATTGTACGTCGTAGCGAATTTGTTAGTTTGATTTTAGACTTCAAATGTAAGCATTTTGATGAGAAGCTTTATTTTTCTACTTCTATTCAGCAAACACGAGGTGCTATTTTATTCTTTTATTTACGCACAAGCTGACGTTTCGGAGGATTTCGCCTTCCTCAGAGCCTGGAAGGGTCAAGTTGACAGCAATCCACTCGGCCAAACACCTCCATAACCAAGCAGAGAAAACGCTAAACCAAGATTTCAATCACATTTAGCATAGCTCTGCACACTCACCGCTTTCTATGAGTTTTCCACTGAGTATGTCGCGTGAAGATCGACCGCACAGAATTCACATGGAAGCGTAATGTGCCCCTCCCATCAGAATAACAGGTTTATATACTGTCCAATATCACGCGTGATAACAAGGCATTTCTCCTTGCGGTTTATTTTCAGATTCTTGGAATTTATCCAGAATGCCTCTAGAGTTTTGCGAGCTTGTGTTCTCGATTCTTGCGCGAGGATCGTAACCCTTACTTCAAAATCTTCTCCGTTATGTTTCTGCGTGATATGCGTACCTAGTGGAGTACTTAGCTTACGTTTGCCGACTAGGTGTTCTTTTATACGTACGCAGAGTGGTCTACCCGTTTCGCCAACGTATTCGTCCCCGCACGCTTTACAAGAGTTCAGATAGACTGTACCCGAACTCAAGCAGTCACCGTCTCTACCATTGGGGCAAATTATGCAATTTTGCGTTGCACATAGACGGTCGTATAGGCGGTTACGAACTAGGTGGCGCCTTAGATTACTCGGTGGTATTTCGATTATCGTTACCGAATTCTCTAGACTGGCCTTTCTTAAACAGTGTTTTATAGTTGCACTTACTTCATTTGAAATGAAGGACATAAACGGGACCTTGTTGTCGCTAGAGTTATCGTTGGGTTACCTGTGGTTTCTACACCTATTTCGAGCTACGGTTTCGTAGCCATTAAAAGTGGCTATTTGCCGCGCCAAGTTCCGGGACTCCTCTCTCTGTTGTCTTCCTGTGCACACGCTGGTAGCTGCTCGATACATGTTTCTCACAAGCGCCCTTTTCGTGTGAGAGGGATGAGAGGAGAGGTAATGAGCTAGGATGTTCTTACTACTTGGCTTTCGATACCACTTCGTAATGTGGCCGTTTCCTGATAGGCTAATTTGCACGTTCAGAAATGGAAGCCAGTCTTCTTTTGGTTTCTCTCGGGTGAATTTAGTATACTCTGACTGTGTGTTCAACGACTCGAAACATTTTTCAGTTTCTTCTTGTGTTGAACAAATGGCCAAGCAGTCATTTATATATCTACAGTAGAGTAACGGACCGAGGTCGATTACTGGTGCTTCTACCTTAGACATGAACGCAATGGCAAGGCTTGGTGCCAGCCGTTGTCCCATTGCCAGCCCTCTCATTTGTGCGTAATACCTCCCGGACCATCTGAAGGTTGAGCAGTTTAGGCACTCCTTTGAGAGTGTCATCAACTCAATTGGGGTGCAATTTTATGTATTTTTTATGTATTCCATTATGGTTAAAGTCTAGAATTCTGGGATTTGCGAATGTTCTGACGATTTTTCCTGCTGCAATTTGATTGCCTGAATAACTAGTTGTCTTCATCATTGAAAAAGTTACACTTGATTACCGAGAGCTACGGTATGCTGGAGGAATCCAGTTTCTTTAAAGAGGAACATTTAACTCGTTTCCACTTTTACAGTTTCACCGTGCTACATCTTGTGTTGTCGTGCACGAACATTGTCCATCGATTGAATTTCTTGCACAGCTGTTCCAACTCTTGATACCCTTTGTCTATTTTCACTTCTCTAATATGATAGTTTTCCGAGGATTCAGCAACGTTTAATTCGATCTGCTGGCCACCAAGCATTCATCGCAACCTTCGCTTGATGCTAGGGTTTGAAAAGTGTTTCATCACTTCACTGTTCGGCCACCACACAATTTGTGTTTATGCAGCATCTTCTGTCAAATTTGTGGATCCTCTGCGGCTACGGTTGCTGCTTGAGGATTTTCATTCCATCTTGAATGTCGTAGAATGCTGGTCGAGTCGATTCTCTCTGGAGTCCTGAAATAGCCGGACCGGAGCGTTCCCAATTGGATTACAGGGAGTGGTTTTTTGTCGGACAAACCTAGTGCCGATTTCCAGATCATGGAGGGATGAGAGGCTTCGTTACCCCGGAGCGGAATCGAACTAGTCGTGATGACTGACATCACTACCACTGTGCTATTCGCCTCTGAATTTCCTTTATTAATTTAAATAACAAGTTGAGCATGAAATAGCGTAAAGACGACATGGTCTTCAGTAAAAATTAGTGGAGATCACGAAAATTCAGCAGCCTTCAAATGAATTGTAATTTCTTAGGAATCGTATTCTTCGTTATCAGCTTCATTATTTAGACCTCAGTACACTTACCCAAATCCAATGCTTACCATTTCCAGACCACTCTGCTTCTATTTTGGTTAAAAGAGTCTTACATTACGTTTTATTCTTTACCACATTGTTGCTCTCTTGCTTTTCCGTGGATCTCTGTTTCAATTTAGCTCTTAATAAAATTACACTTTAGGGTCTAGCTACAATTTCAAGTGAGATCAACGAATTGGCGGCCCGTGCCAGAGATGGTAAACTTCAACCAAATGAGTACCAGGTTCGCATTTTTGTTTATTTTTGATTAATACCTAAATGAATCCTGAAAATCGCTTTATAGTCCAAATTAGTACTTTAATGTGGAGAACAGTTATTTTGAAATTTATATGAAATTGTCCGACATTTTATTTACTACCTATTATTTTTCCACGGCTGGCTGTTATGTGAAATATAACACAATGGTGCTGAGTTGTTTGCAAAATCTGAACTTTTGGGCTTAATTTGTCACATGTGGAATTTATGGGCTCACGTGCAATCCACCACTGACGACCTTGGTTTGCGTTTCTCTCAGTCAGTTTTTAACTGTAACCGTGTTATCAAAAATCATCTTTCAATCGAGAATGACCTGGGGAATGCTAGTGTTGGCATTGAACCCAATTAAACTGAGGCTATAGTCGAAACCACGTTTAATCTTTTATGTACTGCTTATCAAATCTGGCCCGGGGTCCATGTTTTGCAAATATCTCAGCATCATTTTGGTAGTATGAGATAGTTAAGAAGTGCAATGTCGTAAATTGAATTAGATCAGGTTATTTTTAAAGATTATTTCAAATCTATATGTTGCAAGAAATTTTAATTATCAGTCCCTTTGACTTTTTCTGCAGTGCTTAAACTTACGTTGAGTTTTGCAGGGTGGTACCTTCACTGTCTCCAATCTCGGCATGTTTGGTAGCATCAGTGATTTTACTGCAATAATAAACCCACCACAATCATGCATTCTTGCCGTTGGTGGAGCTGAAACGAAGATGATTCCCTGTGATAAGGAAGGGTATGTATTTTTCAAATTTGTGATCTATAACTACAATGATGCTGAGATATTTTCAAGCCTTCGAACCGCAGGTGTCTTCAGCGAAGATCGAACCTCATTATTACTTAGTAGTAATAGTAACAACGCTTCCCAACTGTTTAACGCCTCATCGTGGCTGGGAGGTGTTCCTGGGTGTCGGGCTGCGATATACAGCGGGGAGTTCATCTCCCTGCCAGAGTCTCCCAAGCTGGGAAGGAATCAGGCGTTTCCTTCAGGAAGCCCAGCTAAGAGTAAACTAATACCAGGACCCATCACTGCTCTGGTATCAAAGTCGCATAGTGGCAAATCTCCCTACGATCCGCAAGGACTGCGATTGCCTGTGTGGTGGTGAAGACCTGGGGAGACTTTGGCCAGGCTGACCTCGGGATTCTAGAGAACCACGATGGCTTAATCAGCAAATCTCCGAAAAATAGAGATTATGCTGGGGCCCGCATAACCAGTGATTACGAGCGGTTTAGGTATCAAGTATCAATCAATAATAACAACGAGTTTCGATCCCCACGGCAGATATGTGCTGTCCGAAGCTTTGGAAATATCTCAGCATCATTGTAGTTGTATCTCACATTATGCCCTGCCACGAAAGAACAAAAGGAAGTAAATAAAAAGTTTTTACGTTATTATCTGTAGTCACAGTTATATTGGAATGGTTTTCATACTTGGAAATTTTTTTTGGGTAAACTTTTAATTTCAGTCCCATGTTTCATAGGTTGCTAAATGCCTTTTGAGAAATGTTCTTCTGCAATGATTGCCTTGTCAAATTTCCTTAACATAAGTTTTTCAGCAGAATGAACAAATTGAAAGCAAAGCATATGTTGATAACTTTTTCAAATTTTCCTAGATTTTTCGATTTTTTGTCGATCTTTAAGCTGCTTGTGAAATTCGATTATATTGGCTAGTAAGGAGGTTCCTTGAGTGTGAGTTTCCTAAGGATCTGTTGCCGAACTTCAGACTTCATTATAAGTGTCGTTTGAATTGTGCCTACGAGTTCATGCACTATACGAAAGTAACATTAGATGAGAACGTTTACAATTTTTATTTATTCCCAGGTCGCCTGTCTGTTTATTATTATTATATGTAACTAATTTTTTTCGACGATTATTTGATGTTTTGCGATCTCATGAAACATAGCCACATGGTACTAAAAGTGTTGTTGTTCCATACTCCACGCGAAAAGTGAGGTAGGTAAATTCCGATAGCAAAGAGGTTCCGAAGAGTATTGCTGTTGTTTTGAAATACAGTGGGATTTGGAACCACATTATGACTTGTGCTGAGCGTGTATAGCGCAGTGATCGGAGGCACTCTGCAATATGGGATCGATGTTTGCGCTCCAGACTCAACAAGCCTTCCATCCCTCCGAGTTCGGCACATTGGTACCAGATTTATCTGGGAGGATAGCGGCACCGGTTCGATACATCGGTGAGGCACCGCGAGTCATCATTGTAAAGGCCAGATATGCATTCAATCACCCAACTACGCTAAGTGAAGTAGAATGCATTGCGCAATCCTTCATGGATTGATCAGCACCAAGAGCTTTATGTTCTTATTTTTTTTATGATGATCGTACGATAATGTCCAACTCTAAGATTTTTTTAAGATATCGTAGCGTGAAAGTGATGAAAGTGACCTTGTCATGTGACCACCGTGTAGTAGATGGAGCAGTTGGAGCCGTCTGGTTACGTCATTTCAAGGAATTCTTGGAGAAGCCGCATACTATGCTTCTTTAGAGGGCAGCTAAATTTGTTACGTTAATGAGGTAATAGGTTTTCCTCAAGCGGCATTATCGGATTTATTTAGATACATCGTGTTGTTCATGGCGGTTTTTTTTTCATTCTCAACATACTTTAAGCGTTAGGTTCCCATGTGTTTGTGTTTGTTGAACAGTGGTGATTCATGGCTCTTCAGATTTTCCGAGGTTCTTGTTTGGTCCTCTCCTTACTAACGTTTAACTGTGCAATGATGTTTACCGTTCATAATTTAAGCTTGAATTGTTTACTAATGTCCTCTCCAATATCTGAGATGAGCTCCACTTTCAGTGTTTGAGTTTTACCTTATTTGTCTCAACTGGGATCAAATAAGCAACTTTGAATTTTAAGAAACATGAAGTAACCATTTATAGGTGTTGAAGGTAGTTAGTGTTCGAGTTGAGGTTTTTGTTTAAACACATCTGTCGAGTAGTTTGAAGGCTAATAGAAATCATCGGTCGTTCTGTAATATTTATGGTGTTAGTTGTTATTTGGATTTGAAAAATCATTTCCTAATGTTGTATTAGATATTGAAGACCTATTAAATTTTGCTGAGCCTTGCAAATATTGTCTTAGGTAGTTTAATAAATTTCATCTGTGGCGCGGCGGCTGTTCTTGAAGGAATAAATGACCTCAGTGGGAATTCAGGGCGGATGTAGCGTAGTGGTCGGAGGCGCCCAGCAACACACGGATCGATCCTAGTTCCCCAGACTCACCAAGCGCTCCATCCCTCCGGATTCGTCGAATTGGTAGCAGACTTGTCTGGGAGGATAGCAGCACATTTGCGCGATAAATCGATAGCCCCTTGTGCCATAGTAAAAGCCAGGAGTCGGATGCATGGCGCATGCCTCAGGGATAGATCAGGACCAAGGCCTTATCCTTTCTATTTAATGGGTATTCAAAATAACGCTTGAATTCCTTGCAGATGTTCCACGGAAGTTCAATTACAGTGCAATAAGGTTTGTAACAAGAGCAAAGTTGCGAATAACTTGAGAGATGCCCTGGAGGTAAACGCACAGTGATTTGGATTAGGCTCACCAACTGTTGTTATAGCAAGTTAGGTTTCCTCGCATTATTTCCTTTTAGGAAATTTACGGTTAAGGAAGTTTTACCACTTCTTATGCAATTTTCATAGCTGGAGTATAGCACAGGTAGTCAAGTGCTTTAAGACCAAATGCTAACAGATTTGGCGACTCTTCGTTTTTTAATTCGATAGGCTTCCGTTTTTTGAAGACAGGTCAATTATAAGGTGTATCATCAATGAAGGAGAAAATGCTGTTTCATCCCATAGTCCGAGAAAAGAACGAAAGAATAAACATTTCAGCTTGATCTACTCCTGAGGGATACGCCATGCATTCGACTTCATTGAGCACTGCTGGAGATGATTAAATGCATATCTAATCTTAACAATGACTCGCAGTGGCCTACCGATGTAACGAACCAATGGTGTTATCTTCCCGGACAGGTTTGGTACCAATTTGCCGACTCTGGATGGATGGAGGGCTTGGTGAGGCTGGGGCGCGAGATCGGTCCCAAATGTATTGCAGGGCGCCTCCGACCACTGCTCTACACGCCTCCCTCCTCCACAGCCCTCATATAGTCCGGGATGCTCAGAAAATTGTCACAGGGAATAAATTCGTAATCAGTTCGTTGTAGATTAAATAAGAAGGAAACAATGGGAGGTAAGTCTTTATTATTGATAAACACCGGATAGAACAAAATTTATTAATGTGTAATTCATTCATATTAATGAGATCAGCAATAACCACATGTTCGGGCACAATAAGACCACATGTAGAGATAAAAGCGTTCAGTTCGACAGTGTGAAATCCAATTCGAGCATCGTTCGGATCCGTCACGGTCATAGCAAACTGCAAAAGAATATATATATATATATATATATATATATATATATATATATGCTTCTAGTTGGCCCAGTAGTTCGCAAAATAGGGGCCAGTTGTAAAGGAACATATAACAGGGTCATTTTCGTTTTTTCTTGCTGTATATCCACGTGGATATGCATGTATTCTTTTATTTAGGTTTGTCTATGTACGTATGCATGTACTGTATGTATGCATTTGGTGTGTTTGTATATACAACTAAGGCAAGGGTTCCGAAGCTCCGATCTGCGTTAGCGATCAAAAATGAAAGGTGCCGTTCTGTACGCCAAACAGTCGAGGATAAGGTGGGCCGGACACGTAATGCGTATGAGCGACAACCGGTGGACAAAAGGCGTTAGTGACTGGGTCACTTGAGATGTCAAACCTACAGAGAAGGACCACCGATCCGTGCTCAGAGCTCTTCACGAAAAGCCTAGAAGAAAGGTATGATGCTCAACAGGTCTCCAGAACGAGCAGAATCCACTGGGCTATTCTTGAGCGCAAAAGGAAAAAATGAAACATTTACTCGCGCGAGTCACTCGACGATCATTGGGACGGCAGGTGATACATATGATGTGTGCTCGTATGCATTCATAATTGTATGATTCTATTTATGAAGCTTTGTACGAGGAGCCACAGTATTTAGTGTGAACTACCTTGCATTGCGAACATGGTCGCTGGTTCTTTGGTTTGCGTTCTGTTTTTCTCACAATCTCGTTTTCTCCCTAATGGTGCCGTTAGCAATCACCCGTCAACAGGAATGATTTGCTGGGCATAAATCAGCACTGGACCTTGTTAAGCTGAAACTGTAGTTGAACCCTCGGTGGTGCAGTGGGTTGGATGTGAGCTCTAGAAAGGGTAATCACTGATGAGAAGCTAGCGTAGGGTTCCGAGTTTTGCAAATGTCTCAGCATCATTGTGGTTTTGTTCCACATAAAACTATGGCATGAAAAAAATATTTGAAGTAAATAAAAAGTTAAACATTATTGCAAAATACAATTACAAAACGTGACGTATGGGTGCAATGTGAGCTGTGTAATGTACACCTAATGTTTTTGAGAACTGTTTTCAACTACACTTCTGTCGTGGCTGTGGTTGTAAGATTTGATAGCTACTTATAAAGAAAAACTGTTGAAATCCCAAAAGTTTGGCGCCTCACGGTGGTTGTGAGGTGTTCCTGGATGTCGGACTCCAATGTACAGTGAGGGTTCATCTCTCAGCAGGGTCTCCTAAGCTGAAAAGGAGTCCGGCGTTTTCATCGAGTAGCCCAATTTAGAGTAAGCCAATCCCACGATTCACCATTTGGTAGCAAACTAGTTGAATGGTGGCAAATCTACCTCAAATCCACAAAAGCGGGGACTGCCTAGGTTGGTGACGACCAGAAGAAGGCTTCGGCGAGGATGATCTTGGCATTCCAGGGAACCACAATGGTTAGACCAACAAAATTCTCACCTCAGCACTTCGCACACTGGATGCTCGCGCCTACGATATCGGTGGCTGAGACAGCCGGGTGAGAAGTGATCAAATCTCAAGTTGCACAGGACGTTATTGGAAACATACAAAATGAACACGCCCACGACAACGCCATAGAGACTGTTTCCTGCTTTGCACCTCTATACCACCAGAGCTGTCTTTCCAGACTACGATCCTTACGCTCTTCCTGGGGCCACTGATCGCATCAAATTTCGTGTTATCGCACAGCAATAGGCGAAAAGCAGGGGGACCGACATACGCTAACTAGATGACAGAACGATTGTCATTCGTGGGGCTAAATTTCCGCCGCGAAATGTCAGAGGTGTTAGTTTTCACGTACAACCATTTGTTCCTCGTCTAGTGACCTGGTAGGACATCTTATCATCGCGCTTGACCATCCACCGCTTCCAACTTGCGCGTCAGATGAAAGTGAATATCATCAACTGTTACTCACTAACTTGTACAGCTGATGAGAGGGAACTGGAGGCGTTTTACAACAATATGGAGAAAGTAATCCTCAAAGAGAAGTCCTTTTATAAACTCAGTGTTGGAGACTCCAACACCAGATTGGGACCGGCCATCGAAAATGAATGCAGGATGGAGAAATTCGGAATAGAAGGACGAATTGAGGTAGAATCCATCTTGGACTTCTGTCCATAGCACGTCTCCTTCATAGGAATTCATTTTTTGAGAAGTGAGAAAGTCGCCGATGGAAATGGGAACCTTCCGAAGGCAAGACTCAAGCGCAGGCCGATTATATTCTCACGGAGGGAAGGTGGTGTCTTTTGAAACATCAGTAGTCCCGGGATTCCATGCTGGATCTGATCACCGCCTTCTTTGTGCGAAGATTCGATTCATCCATAAGCTCTAGAAGAACACCTATCATCGTCCAAGAAAAACGATATAAGTAGTGTATGAAGAGAGTATTCTAAATAAAATCCTCTCCTCGTATGACTGGGAGATAAAGGAGGGCTCGGTTGAGGAGTACACGCTGCTATCGGGGGAATTAAACCCAGCGCCGAATTCGCCCTAGTTTCTCAAACAAAGAGTTCAGTCCTCATTTCCTTTACTACTAAGGAGTTGCTCAAAAAAGAGAAAGACACTGAAGCGTAATCGTACTGCAACACACCTAATACGGGTGATAACAAATGCTAGCTGTAGAAGATCTTTGCAAGATTTACATAGCTATAGGTAGAAAAACTTGATGGAAGCAGTTCGAAAACGATCTAGTCTGAAGAATTACCGTTGGATCTTTGCGATCACAACGTTTCACTATCCGTCTTCATAAGCGAAAATGGATAAAAAAGCTCTCGGCGTTGATGAATCCGTAAGGGATGCACCATGCATTCGACTTCATTATGTATCGTTGGAGGTGATTGAATGCATATCTGGCCTTTACAATGACTCGCGGTAGCCTACCGATGCATCGAGCCAGTGCTGCTATCATCCCAGACAAATCTGGTACCAATTTGCCGACCCCGGCGGGATGGAAGGTTTGATGAGCCACGGGCGCGAGGATTGATTCCACGTGTGCGTCGCAGTGGCGAGCGAAGATGGAACTATCATTAAATCTCACCATGATATTCAATTGATAACGGAGAAGTACCAATCTTTTTTCCTCCACAACCCTCGTTTCGAAAACGAAAATCTCCGCTGTTGAAAAATAACCAGCATTCTACCCTTTGAATTTCGAATTGCGGTAGAAAGCATGAAGAGAGGCACAGCTCCAGGATCCAATAATATCACAGCCTATTTACCTCGACAGAGATTTTGCTACATGGACCACATCCAAGCTGCGTCCACTATAGAAATTTGGCTGAAATACCAGCTGCCCCTTGTCCTGACTTTCGACAATGAGAAGTCGTTGGACAGCGTAGGAAGGAATGCAATCCTATCAGTTCTTGTTGAACAAGTAGAGGAACCGTCCTATATAGGATGGCTAACTGACCATTGTAGGAACTACGGCAAAATTTACACCTTTTTCGTCGATCCGTCACCATACCCGAAAGAAAAGGGGTTCGACATGGCGACACAATTTCGGTAAAGCTATTTCCTAGCACACTCTAGTGGATAATTGACGCATTGGCTTCGAAGAAGAACATACGTACGGATGGAAAATTCCTATTAAATCTTCGTTTTGAGTACTACATCGTTATGTTTTCGAGGAGTACCAGTGAAGCAGCCACGTATAGCGTAGTGCTCTCAGGCGCCGTAAAATACATATGGAGTCGATTTCCGCTCCTCAAGTTCATCAAGCCCTCTATCCTTCTAGAGTCGGTAAATTGGTATTAGACTTGTCTGGGAGGAAAGCAGCACTGGCTCGATACATCAGTGCGCACTGCAAGTCGTTTTAAGGGCCAGATCTGCATTCAGTCACCTCCAACGATGCTTAATGAGCTCGAATGCATGGTGGATCAAGCAGAGACGATACCAATGAGCTCAAAGAAACGGGAAAAAAAATTGGACTGCGCATGAATAGGATGGAGGGTCCGCTTATGAAGATCCCATGATGCAAAGACGAACAGATCAAATTGGATGGTTTCCTGACTACAGAGAAGACCTCGTACGTAGACCTTTATCTTGAACTTTGAATGAACATGAAGGACAACATGGAGGAGGAATTAGACATAGGAAGTACGGTATCATGGGCCGCACTCGGGCCTCTTGTGGAAGCATCTAATCAACTAAGAGATCAGAAAATCAGCGCTCACTTTTCGATCCACCACCGTCTCAGCCCACAATTATGCAGCAGGGAGGTGGGGCGATACTTCAAAAACGTCAAGAAGTCTGCGCACCACCCACAGAGGCTTGAACGGTGTTTTCTGGAATACAACCGGCACATGGAATATTTATTCGGAATGCGAAGCGCTGATCTTCGATATCTGTCTCATCTTCGAAATCAAGAACACAAATCGATAGCGAAACGTAGATTTTTCGGCTATACGGAGAGAAGAACAAGCGACAGAAGGAAGAAAAGAAACTGTTGAGTGGACTCCATGAGGATGCAGGCTTCTCCAAGGACGATTACCCACACTTTGGGCGTACGTGCTCTTGGCTAACGTCAGCCACCTGTTTTCGTAGACGGGAACCCTTTTAGGATGGATTTTGGAATGGCCCTCACAGTAGTCACTATGTTCAGGGCAGACCACCACCATGGACGACGATTGTGCGATAAAGAAACGTATGGAAGTTATGCTGAGTTGCGCTCTACAAATGAAGACGGATCATCCAAGTATTTAAGTTAGTGACTTTGTTAAGGTACATTGATGGATAAGTACTCTGTGAGAACCGAGCTAATCTGAGGATTTCCCCTCAATGAGACATCATATTATCATAGCGAAAAGCTTTCTCTAGGTGCCGAACCTCAATATCCGAGTAAACCACGGACGGCACTGTTCCCTTCTGAAATGCAGCACTTTCTATGCTCCACACTGTCTTCAAAGGAACAGGTCTTCGCCTACGAAATAAATTAGTTCAAAATGGGGCTTTCCAGAAATTCTTATCCGTTATCTGTTATGTATCGCGCATTGATAGTCGACTGACCCATGCGGGCGCAAGTAAGATTTTCATTTTTTCCTATGGGATGCAAGAGTCACCCAATGGGATCTGCTTGGTCTAAAGGTTCGTTGTGCATCATACCTTTTTTTTGGGTCTTTCGTGAAGAGCTCTAAGCATCGGGTCGGTGGTCTTCTCGCAGTGCGTTTAACATCCCGAGGAATCCAGTCACTAACGGCTGTTGTACATCGGTTGTCGTTCCTGCGCATTACGTGAATGGCCCATCTTATCTTCGACTATTTGGCGTGCTGAACGGCATCCTTGATTTTTGATCGTTTACGCAGGTCGGTGCTTTGGATCCCTTCCTTTACTTGTGTGACACGGGATTCTCCCAGCATCCTTCTTTCGACTGCGTATTCCATAACACTAAGTGGTCCTTCACGCTGCTTACGTAGCGACAGGTTTCTGACACATACGCTAGGGAAAGGAGAATTGGAGTGGAAAAGATAGGCACACAGTCAGGTGTTTTTTGTTTTTCTCACAACACTCTCGACGCTCTTTAAGGCTTTCCAAATCGCTTGCTTCTTCCTGCCCAACTGTGTAGCTAAGCGTTTCATCATGATGCCTTCTCGAGTCACGTAATCACAGATGGATTATAGCATGAGCAGCCATTTGATGCGAAAATTTTGCGATTTCTTCATGAATGAAATAGTCGGAATTGTGGCAATCCGTTAAGGTAAGTAGGATATGAGCAAGAAGGATGAGGTAAGGAAATCCACTCCAGTTCAAGTCCGCTTCCGGTCCACCGGTGGTGTCGCATGAGAGAGTACATTATCGTGGAACGGTGGCATTTATCGCATGTGATTGATAACTGGCGAATGTCTATCGGCGTAACAGTTTTTGCGGGGCATTTTGCTGATTTCTTGATATAAGAAATGGCTGCAGTAATAGTTTCATGAAGTTGCAAAAGAATCTTACGGAGGATTGCATTCGTCGATCACTAAGGCGTCACGATAATAACATCCTTTTGATGACAATTTGATCTTGAAGTATATCCCTATGCTCCATCTTCTTCCATCCGTGTGCACAACGTTGCCCATCGTCGTACACTAGCGCTTTTAGCCTCCCATCATAAAGCAATCTAGGACCGGATCGTTTTTGTTGGGACGAAAAAAAATCAGCGCCAAGTAAACTTCATTATAACAAGTAGGCTCTTCGTCAACTCCAAGCGACAATCGGTTGTCGGGCTTTTTGTCGACCTGTTAATTCAACCGAAGTGGTTCGATGCTGTTTTCACATTTACATCTAGTTCTTCCACAAGCTTTCGAATAGTTGTGCGCGAGGTTCGCTCAGTTGACGTCATCAAAGTTGACGACTTATAAAACCCTCGAAACGAAAACTGTACCATATCCCAGTCAAAGGTTCCTTGAAGAAATGCAGTGCTTCTGCAGACGATTTCAGCGGCTTCAAGTGGAAATTTAGCTTTGCGTAAAGAAAAAGAAACTCTAACTTATTCCTTTTCATTTTGTTCTAATGACATAGTTAATTCTAAACGAATTAACATAAGAATAAAATCGCTTGTATTGAACCTTAAAGTAAAACTTCCTATTTCTTAAATTGACATGGAGAAAGGCACCTGAAGTTGTCACCTTTTAAAATTGGGTCTTTTATATTGAGTAATTAATTATACTGTTAAAATATTCGGAATGCTACTTACAGACTATACGTTGTGGTGGACGATGTGCACGAGAAATTGATCGTAATATTAGCTCATCATCGGGTTGTCTAAATATAATCATTTTCTGACATGATAGCTTCGATTTTAGAAGCAGCATGTAGTCGTTACCAACCTCGATGGAATTCGACGCGTACTTGAATTTGTTTGAGGTCGTGCGAATATCAGTGATGAACGAGGACGTGCTGGGAAAATTGTTCTGAATTCAGCGAGTAAAGATCTACTGGTTCTATAGTCTCGCGTTTTAGATTAATTATTGTTTTCACTGGGAATGGACGAAGCAGTGGTAGTGATTCCGCATATTAAAACGCACATAAAAATCAAAAGGACCACCTACAACGCTGGTTCGACGTCGCCTGGGCCAACTAAATGTACGTTTGTGCTTTTCTGACGTTATTTAGCAGAATGGCAGAATGATATGAAGGTATGAAGCGTCGTTTTCTTGTTCAGCAATCGCGAGGTTTTTAAACGGCATACATTTACTTCCATAGAAGAACACAATACAATACAACACTAGCTGACGTTTCGGCAGTATCGCCTTCTTCAGAGCCGCTTTTTATGTGACTTCCAATGAGGAAGTTAAGAAGAGTGAGAGGTAAATTCATGTCCCAATGCCGAGGTAAATAGAAAGTTGATCCTGGGAACTATTACAAGATATGAAGGTATTTCGGTTTTCGTCCATTGTATTCACCGCTGCTATCATTAGAGCTTCAACTTCAAATAGACGAGGCCACTCGAAGAACATTTAAAGAAGGTATTCAGCACGATTGGCAAGTAACATGACATCAAAAGTTGAGTAGCGCAATAGTGTTGCCGATCATCACGAGTACCATGGTGGCTTGATCCCGCTTTGGACTCACTAATTCTCTTATCCCTCCGCGGTCTAGAAATTAGTATCAGAATCGTCTGGGACAAGCTGGTTCCCTCCAATCTGTGTCAGATCTTCTAGCCCGACAATCCCAGAACTCCACGGAGAATCGGCCAGTATTCCATGATATGCGTGAAGAAGGAAAAAATCTTCAAGCAGCAACCAAACCCACACGCAAAAGTTCGAGGGCCTTCATATACGGTGGATGAGAGGAAACGATTGGAATGCAAAAAGAGCGGGATCCGCACTGTGTGAAACATGTGACAGCGCCTCATATGATAAATAGATAACTTGTTTTCATTTTCATTAGTTACTTACATTTTCCGCGCTCTGCTAAAAATGAATGGAATAATTCTGGTAGTTATCGCCGAAGTACTACTCCTCGTTGTCGTCGTCGTCGCAGCCGTCGTACTTCTCGTTGTCGTCGTTGTCGTCGCCGTCGTCGTCGTGCGCGGAATGGTAATTATGCGCGGTGTTGGTGATGGACCTTAAATCAGTATATGACAAGGAAGAAAACAATCAAGCACAGTATCAAGTTTAATTGCTTCAGAAGATGGCCAATGATTCTGGAGCTAGAGATTCTGTTTAAACAACAGTTTTATGGTTTCATGAAGTTTTCGACCAACAGAAGTTAAGTTTGAAGCTTATTATAGTAGATGCATGCGTGGTGCAACACTGAACGAGCTTGAACCCACGTCGATGAATGATCTCCATACCTGCGACGGGTATGATCTGCTTCATATGAGTTGTCCGTGTGACATTAAACTGAAATCGAATTATTTAATTTTATACCCGTACATGTTTGTATTTATGTATGCACTATATCTATACGTTGTCTGTGTATATATATATGTGTATGTGTGTATATGTGTGTGCATATGTGTGTATATGTGTTTGCGCGTATATGTGTACGTGTGTGTATATGTGTATATATGTGTGTATATGTGCGTGTGTGTATATGTATGTGTGTATATATGTATATGTGTGTATATGTGTGTGAATGTGTGTATATGTGTGTATATGTGTTTGCGCGTATATGTGTGTATATGTGTATGTGTATGTTGTAATTTTATAAACGACTATATTTGTGTGAGCTCTTGAAATGTTTCCAACTTTTCCCTTTCTCACTTTCTTTTTTTGTTTTCTAATCCTTTCGAAATTCTTGAGCAATACCAACAAGTGTGAGATGGTCAGCTATAAGTTAGCATATACTATAGTATGCCATTTTCTAATGATTATTACTGAAGACCACAAATAATTAGTTAACCATAGTTTTTCTCATACTGTTCAAAGGAAGCGCTTGTTATTAGGCTGTTCGTAAATAAATGAGCCTTTTAAAATATTTATTGATTTAATGTATTTTTTACCAACAAAATATCCTTTCTACCTTGCAATATTATGTATCATTACAAAGCTGATTTTGCACTCTTTCTAACGGTTTTTGAAAAGTTAAATCTTTTTACCAATTCTGAGCTTTGAATTTCAGATGTCGAAACAAATTTTCGTCAAATTTTCCTTTATGAGTTCAAACTCGGTCGCAGTGCAGCATAGACGGCTCGAAACATTAATGAAGTTTGGCGGAAGGTAATGTCGGTGAATCAACAGTGCTAACATGATTCTGGAAATTCCGATCTGGTGATTTCGACGTCGAAGTTAAGGAAGGCCTTGGACGTTCCAATTAACTCAAGGACGACGAATTGAAGGCACTAGTAGAAGCAAGCACGCGAACAATTGTTCGAGACCTTGCACATCTTAACGTAAGCAGGAGTAATTTCCACTCACTTGAATCGCGTAGAAAAAAACTCGACATGTGAGTGTCGCACGAATTAAACGATCATCAAAAAAATCGCCATTCTGAACTGTCGTCTGCTCTTATTCTGCGCAACAAAAGCCACTCTTTTCTCGATCGAATTGTGACATGCAACGAGAAGTGGATTCTGTACGACAACCGGCGACATTGAGCTCAATGGCTGGATTGCGATCAGGTTCCATAACGCTTCCCGAAGCCCAAATTGTACCAAAAAACGTTATGGTGACAGTTTGGTGGTTTGCAACCGAGCTCATTCGCCAAAGTTTTTTGAATCCGGGCGAAACGATTACGGCAGAGAAGTATTGCGAACAAATCGACGAAGTGCACCGTAAACTCCAACAGCAACACTCGGCATTAGTCAGCAGAAAAGGACCAATCCTTCTACACATCAACGCCCTACCCCACGTTACGGAACCAGCGATGCGGAAGTTGAACGAGTTGGGCTACGGAACTTTGCCTCATCCGCCATATTTAAGAGACCTATTGCCTACCGATTTTACTTCTTCGAGCACCTTAACAATTTAGAAATGCTTCACCAACCACGACGACGCAAAAAATGCTTTCAACGAATTCATTGCTTCCAGAACTCCAAAATTTCATGCCACTGGAACAAGTAAACTATTTTCTCGTTGGCAGAAATAAATTCAAATGGTCTTCATTTTGATTAGTATAGTTTTGTTCTAAGCAAGTTATGACATTTTAAATAATATAGTTAAAAACGCTCATTTATTTCTAAACATCATGTTATGGATTCTGCGGTTAAGCGAAATCCTCTAGACGTCGAAGATTATTACCTCATTCCTTCGAGTGGTTGGTGTTGACCGAGTGACGAACGGTGGTCGTGTTGTAGTGATGATTCGACTGATAAATGATAACTGTGCTGCGGTAGTGATTCGGTTAATGAATGGTGGTTGAGTTGTGGTGATTTGAGGTGCAGTCTGTTCCTAAAATATTTAAGTTGAATGATGAACTTATATTCTGCTTCTAATTCTGATTTAAATAAAGTACAACAGAAATAATTGGAATATAAAGTAGGTGACGATGATCGTTGAATAAAGCTATTAGGGATTAGTTTGCACCGATTATTGAACATACTAAAGGAATGGCACTGGCTTGAGGATTAAATTTTTTTCCCTAAGGGCTCTGAATCTCTTATGAATTGTCATTACTGCAACTATTATATCTTTCAATGGTTAACATCCTTATCGGAACTGGTGTACGCTCATTGATATTTGTGGAAACTGCGACATACGGCGGCGTTCACCAATTCCGGTTTAAATTTCCCACGTTGAGACCGAGCTCAAATTTCCCATCTGAAATCCTAGCTAATAATAAGCTAAAAATGGGAGTCGTTTTGGTAACATATTAGTCGAATGGTGACAAATCTCTTTCTAATCTACAACCCCGGCGACTTTCCATGGTGACGACCTGCAAAAGTGGTATGACGGTTATCATGAGATTTAAGTGAAAGGAAAGCTGCCTCGATAAGAAAATTACCATTCAGTTTGAAATCTCGTGGAACTTAACATGACCTTTCGTCAGGATAGGTCAAGTACCAGAAATATCGCTGCTGTAATTATTGCTGTTATTATCATTCACACGACGGTTTACAGCCTCATGGCAGCTGGGAGGTGTTCTTGGGTGTCAGACTGCATTCTACAGCGGGGGATTAATCCCCCTGCAGGGTCTTCGAAGCTGAGAATGAGTTCGTCGTTTCCATCAAGAAACCCAGCTAAGAGTAAACCAATACCAAGAGATGCACCACTCATACTGGTATCAAACTGGTCGTATGTGGGCAAATCTCTCTCTGATTCACAAAGGCGGCGACTGGCTATGGTGGTGACGAACTTTGGTAAACTTTTGCCAGGCTAACCTCGGGAGTCTAGGAATGCACAATGACTGGGTCAGCAAAATTCTGAGAAATACTGGGGCGTGCACAACCAGTGAAGGCGGCTCGTCAAATATTCCAAGTAAGTATTATCATTCACCTGCCATCGGCCACCTGTTCTTCCGTTGATCGTCTAGTGACTTGAGCGGGCTACAGTGAACCTTCCATTTTTCCCTGTCGCTTGCAAGAATGTTCCAGTGGGTTCTGCCTGCTATAGAAACTCGTTCTAAGGTTTTCGTGAAGATCCTCGACTAACGGCTCGATGTTATTTCTGCAGTACGTTTCATATACTAAGAAATTCAGTCACTAACGGCTTTAGTCCATCGGTTGTTGTTCATACGCATTACGTGAACGGGTTACTTTATCTTCGACTACTTGACGTACTGAATAGGATCTTTGAATTCTGATCGTTGACGCAGGTCGGAGCTTCAGATCCTTTCCATTGATTGTGTGACACGGGATACTATGCCCAGTGTTCATTCATCCTGCTTACGCAGCTAGCAGGTTTCTGAGGCATACGTTAATGCAGAAAGTACCGTCGAGTCAAAAAGGTGGGCACGGAGTCGGGTGTTCTTTGTTCTCTTCATTAAATCCTCAATACTCTTGAAAGCTCCCCAAGCCCTTCATTTCCTTTTTTCAACTCTGGAACTAAGTCGTTCATGATGTTGATTTCCTTACCTTGACAGACGTAACTGGAGCATTCGGCGATACTCATTTCTTTAAGCGTGGGCATACGTATCCAATCCGTTCCTAATGAACATAGTTTTTGCAAGATTTAGTCGAAGACCAATTATTCCATATGCTTTGTCAAAGTCGACAAGCATACGTTCCGCTTGGCTAATGTTTGGTGTTGTAAGAATGACATCATCACCAAAGCGAAGATGGTGCAATTCCTGACCATCAACTTTCACTCCCATATTGTCTCATTCCTATGATCTCATGACGTTCTGGAGTGTGGCTGTAAATAATTTTTGGGAGGTGGCATCGCCTTGCCTAACCCCTCTTTCGACGTCAATGTTAATATCGTTGTAGAATGGTGATATCTTGGTTGAGGAATTTTTATACAGCTCGCGAAGAATCTTTATATACTGAGTAGGGACACCCTGAGTAACGAGTGTTTCAATAACTGCTTCTTCTATTTCAAACCGCTGGTGTTTGCGGTGAAGAACGAACGAGCTATTACCCTTTCCAGGAGCCAATGCGTTCACCGCCACACCATGTGAGTCCTGTCACGCATAATAGCCAGCCTTGAAAAATTGTAGTGGGCAGTAAATAAAAAAAATTTACATTGAGTTAAAAATTTTCTTTAAATCAATGGAAGTGAGACAGACAGGCAGTCTCTTGTACTCTGGCGATACTCTAGTGAGTTTTGTTGTCGTGTGAATGTGATCCATCGTACTAAATCCTTTTCGAAACCCTGTTTGCTCACATGGCTGACCTTGTCCAGTTTAATGTCATTCCTGTTTAGGCTGACTCGAGTGAAAAGTTTGTTTCCGACAGACTCCAAGCAAATTGGGCGATAGTGGCCGATATCGCGGAGGTCACGTTTCTTGAACAAAAGCACGGTTCTGTTGGTCTGTCACCCTTGCCACTCAGGCAGGTAACGTGTGAAGGCAGGAGGATGGTAGTCCTGAATGATTTTCTTCATTAATTCAGGAAGCTGTAGCCGTTCCGTCTGGGCGAAGGAGTACAATCAACTTGGTTTTGCAATTGGAGGAGCTTCGGTGGTCTTTGCGAATGCTTTTTCTGGTATCTGCAGTTGCGAGATCGTCTGTCTGCATTCTTTTCCAAGTTCAGGCGTGAGTTGGTGGCTGCATGTAAGTCGTGTTATTCCACGCTGGAGTACCAGCTCAAGGGTTTTTGAAGACAGACATGTCTTGGTGACTTTCAAACTCTCAGCTTTTTTAGCGCTAATGTAAGATGTTGGATGAGCCGATCGTATTCTTCGTCGATGTTATCAAGAACGGCTTTTTCTTAATAGCTCACCAATAAATTGAATAAATCCCAGTTTGTGGCGGTTTTGGCACTTCGTTTTTTGAATTTGGCGGCTTTTTCTCCTTTACGCGAAAAATGAAATCTTGCACGACGGAAGCGTGGGGTATGATCCTGTGTAGGATTTTGGGATAACTGCGACATCGGTTATGCAAAACATTCGATTTACTATGATGTGGCTTATTTCGCTTTGGTACTCTTCATTGGGAGACTCCCATTTCAGCGCTGAGGGTGGGGCTTCTGAATATGCGAGTTACCATGGATTGTCTTGGTCGTCATGATAAACTCAGAGAGCCGCTCACCCTTTTCGTTCCATTCTAATCCGGGCGTCCCGAGTGACGTTCTTTAGATGTTTTTCTTGGTCCAATCTTAGCGTTAAAGTCTCCAATGATGACCTGAAAGAAGGTATGGTTTTCCCTATAGAACTTCTTTAAGTCGAGCGCTTCATCTTAGTCTTTATCATAGCTTAATGGCCGTGCTTAGACGATGAAGATTGTCAAAGCCAGTATTTGTCCACATCTCTTCAATCGTAAGCGTCTGATTCGGGTTGCTAGCTGTTCGAATGAATCGATGTTCATGGACAAACTCGTGTTGACGAAAACGCCGTCGCCTCCGACTCCTACATTGTCGCCTGTTCCGAGGAACAGTTCACTTCCGATGTCATAGACGGCGCTGAATGGGTGGCGTCGTCTCCCGGCCACTCCGATGACGTCGTACCTTATCCTTCTTGGTTGCGTAGTGAAGTCTTCTATCCAGAACTCAGATGCAAGTGTGCGTACATTCTAGGTATAGATCGTTATCTTAATCCTTTGCCATTTAGATACTCTAGAGTAGCAATGAGATTTTAGCATACTCTTCATACTTCTCCTAACCAATGGTGCCAAATCGTAGGCCCTTTGATGAGGTTATGGGAATGAGGCCCGTTTATTTTACTGTATTTAGCTTTTCAATAACCGCGTACAACTTGCTGAGCTATGAACGTGGGTGTTCGATATAGTCACGGGTAGCTTGCCAGTCTCTCTCAGAGTAGACATGGAGCTTATGTGTTGGAGGCGATTTATAACCGCCTTCAATATATTTCCCTGTTACTTGATTGCAGAGTTTTGACTGAATTGACTCGTAGAATGAAATCCGTAAAGACTACAACGCACCCACACACGCATGCATGAATACGACTCATAAATACAAAAAGTATGTGCCAAATCGGCGCAGCAGGAACAGGGAGCCCATCTCTGGAACCACCGGCGTATAAGAGAGGATAAGGTCGCTTTTGGTCCGCGATCAATTCCCCCATCCGTCATTTGTGGCGCTACGTTGCCCTGCGGCTAACCTGTGTGAGATCCTTCTATGAGGGCTATTATAATTATAGTTGTTATTATTGTGTGTGATATAAATGCTAATGTTTTCGGTAACACTGGCACTCGTTGCAGAAGTGGTAATTCAATCGAAGGACTTGTAGAGCAGTCAGTGTCGTTCTCCATTCCGCCACACTGTTTGTTTGATTAGTAAATCGAATAAACTGATTGATCATACAGTATTCAGATTCTACGTCTTTGTGCTCCCCAGGTCGTTACCGTTGACGGGCGACTTCCAATGTCTCCGTTAGTTAGAAAACTGGTGGAGAGGAACGCGACTAGAGGGACTCTGTGGTGAAATGGTAACACATCAGGTCCAAGAATGTGTAATCTTGGGTTCGAATCTGGGTTAGGGTCAATGTTTTGCAAGTATGTCAGCATCATAGTGGTTTTGTCATCATCATCATCATCATACATCATCACACCCTACCCTGCATACATTATGCCCTGCCGTGGAAAAAAAAATAGCAGTATTTAGTAGATAAAGAGTAAACGCTGTAATCTCTCTGTTTTTTGCCTACGGATATGTTCATTTAATTGGTTGAAAAAATTGAAGCGTTCCTTTTATTGGACAGTTTAATGGATGTGCCACAATTTTTTCCATAGGTTGCTTGACCATTCGCAAAAATCTTTGCTTTCTGGAAAAATCCTTATCGCAAAGCAGCAGTCGTCTATCCATTCAAAATCGGTCAGTAGCTGTCGCAAAGGGTTAGAAAAACCTTGATATTAGTGTTTTCGGATTCTAGAGAAGACTACGATCGGCTAGCATTTAACACGTTAGTGAAAAAAGGTGATTACTCAAACTGCAAACGAAGTCGCAAACGAACTTGAATGGCTGTATGGGTGACGGTTGTATTATAACCAAACTACTCCGGACCGCAGGTGTATGGGGGGAGGGGGAAACGAACGCGCTATTCCGGGGACTAAGGCGTTCACCACCACACCATCTGGTCCTTCATTTCGACTGTCTCTCATCTAGTTTTCAGTTAATCAATGCCATCAGCAATCACCAGTCGACGGGATTTAAACTACAGCTCCAGCTTAATTGGGTTTCTCAGATCAATGCCGTCCATCTCGATCCCATGTGTATTGAAGAGCACCTCTGTGCACTGCGCTACACGCATCGTCATCCTTGCCATCACATGTATCACCTGTAGTCCCGTTGATCGTCGAGAGACACGAGCGGGCCCCAGTAAATCTTCCGTTTTTCCCTGCTGCGTGCAAAAGTAACCCAGTAGGTTTTGCTCGCTCTAGGGACTCGTCGAGTAACACGCCTTTCTTCTAGGCTTTTCGTGAAGAACTCTGACCATCGGGTCGGTTGTCTTCCTGCAGTGCGTTTAACAACACGTGCAATCCACTCACTAACGGCTCTTGTCCATCGGATGTCGTTTATACGCACTATGTGTCCGATCCACCTTATCTTCGACTGCTTGGCGCATAGAACGGCATCTTTGAATTTTGATCGATGACGCAGATCGGAGCCCCGGATCCCATCTCTTGTGTGAAAACGGGTTATTTCTAGCATCGTCCTTTCGACTGCGCTTTCGATAACTCTGAGTGACCTTTCATCCTGTTTACGCAGCGACCATGTTTCTGATGCATACGTTAGGGCAGGGAGTACCGTTGAGTCGAAAAGGTGGGCAAGGAGTCAGTTCTTCTTTGTTCTCTACACCACATCCTCGATGTTCTTGAAAGCTCTCCAAGCCCCTCATTTCCATCTGCTCAGTTCTGGAGCTAAGTCGTTCATCATATTGATTTCCCGGCCTAAATAGATATAACTGGAGCATTCGGATATTCGTTCCGTTGAGCGTGAATGGGGCATGCGAAACCAATCCGTTCTTCATAAACAACGTTTTTGTGAGATTTAGTAGAAGACCAATCTTTTCACAGGCTTTATCAAAGTCGTCAAGCATACGTTCCGCTTGGCTAATGCCAGGTGTTATAAGGAAGATGTCATCAGCAAAGCGAAGATGGTGTAACTGCCAGCCATCGATTTTCACTCCCATATTATCCCATTTCAATGTTCGCATGACGTTCTGAAGGGTGGAGGTAAATAATTTTGGCGAGATGGTTTCGCCTTGCCTAACCCCTCTTTTGACGTCAATGTTAATATCGTTGTAGAATGGTGACACCTTGGTTGTGAAATCTTTGTACAGCTCACGAACAATCTTTATGTATTGAGTAGGGACTCCTTGACTATCAACGACATCCAAGACTGCTTCTATCTCAATTGAACGAAAGGCCTTCTGTAAATCGTTGAAAGTGAGACAGAGTGGTCTTTCATACTCTCGCGATATTTCAATGCACCGTGTTACCGTGTGGTTGTAGTCCAACGTACTAAATCCTCTTCGAAACCCTCCTTGCTCACATGGCTATTCTTCGTCTAGTGTTCTGTCAATCCTGTTTAGGATTACTCGAGTGAAAAGTTTGTAGGCGACATACAGTAAGCAGATTAGGCGACAGTTGCCGATCTCGTGTAGCCCACACTTCTTGAAAGATAGTACAGTCTTGCTGGTGTTCCACTGATGGAGGACCTTGCATGTTTTAATGTTATCCTTTCTGGACCTGATGCTGTTCGAGTTTTCATCGATGAAATGGCATTTCGAATTTCGGAAGGGTGAACCTGTGGTACAACATATCCATCCTCCTTTATTTCATACGAGGGGGGAGGACGTGGCTATCGAAGAGATCCGAGTAGTATTCGTGAATGATTTTCTCCATTGTCTTTCTGGACGCTGTAACTGTTCCGTCTGGTTATCCGAGTTCAATCATCTTCGAGGTCTTTTAATTGGCGAAACTTCAGTGGGCTTTGCGAATGTTTTTCCCAGCCTCTGCAGCTTCGACCCTTACCGCTGCTCCACTTTTCTTAAGTTCATCTTTTATCGCCTGTCTGCATTGTTTTGCAATTTCGGACGTTAGTTCGCGGTTGCCTGCAGCTCACGAGATTCCACGCTGGCGAATCAGCTCGAGTGTTTCTGGAGACAAACGTCTCTTGGTGACTTTCCAACTCTCAGCTTTCATAGGGCTAACGTGAAGATGTTGAATGGGCCGATGGTATTCTTCGCCAATGTTATCGACAACGACATCTTTCCAACAGCCGACTAATGAATTGGATAAGTCCCAGTTTGCGGTGGTTCTGGGACTTCGGTTTTTAAATTTAGCGGCATTTTCTCCTTTCCGCGAGAAATAGAATCTTGAACGAAGAAGACGATGGTCTGTTCCCGTGTACAACTTTGGAACAACAGCGACATCGGTTAGGCAAAACCTTCTGTTTACTAGTCTATTTCGTTATGGTACCCTCCATTGGGAGACTCCCACGTCCAGCGCTGAGGGTGGGGCTTCATGGAATTGCGAGTTACCATGGATTGTCTTGGTCGCCATAATAAACTCAGCCAGCCGCTTGACCTGTTCGTTCCTTTCTAATCCGTGGGTGCCAATGTAACGTTCTTCAGACGTTCTTCTTGGTCCAATCTTGGCATTGAAATCTCCAATGATGACCTTGAGGAATGTGTGGTCTTCTCAGTAAAACTTCTCCAAGTCCATATAGAACGCTTCGACTTTATCTTCGTCATAGTTTGTTGTCGACGCGTAAACGGCGAAGATTGTCAAAGCTGGAATTGATCCACGTCTTCTTAGTAGTAAACGTCCGATTCGGGGTGTACGTTGTTCGAATGAATCGATGTTCATGGACAAACTCGTGTTAACGAGAACTCCGATCCCGTCGACTCCTCTACTGTCGCATGTTCCGAGGAACATTTCTTCTCCGGTGTCATAGATGGAGTTTAATGAGTGGCATCGTCTCGTCTTGGCCAGGCCGATGACGTCGTACCTTATCGTTCTTGCTTGCATGAGCATGTCTTCTATCGTGGACTCGGATGCAGGTGTACGTGCATTGTAGGTGCAGATCGTCACCATAGTTCTTTGAAATCCAGGCAGCTCCCATTGGTCCTGAGATTTAGCAACCTCTCCGTACTCGCCCTACCCAACGCTGCGAAATTGCTCGCTCTTTCGGGGTCAGGGGAATGAGGCCCGTTTTTTTTTATTGTGTTTAGCATTTTTGATACCCACGTGCAGCTTGCTGTGCTCTGAACGTGGGCGCTGAGTATACTCACGGGCAGCTTGCCAGGCTCTCCCAGAGTGAATATGGAGCTTATTTGTTGGAGGCGACTCCAAACTGCTTCCCATATACTTCCCAGTCACTTGATTTCAAGCTTTTGGCCGAATTGACTCGTAGAACACAACCCGTATGAGCAAGAACGCACCCGTACACACATGCATGATTACGCCTAGCAGATACAGAAAGTATGTGCCAAATCAGCGCAGCAGAAAGAGTGAGTCCATCCCCTAGATCTACCTGCGTCTCAGGGAAGCAAAGGTCGCTTTTGGTCCGCGATTAATCCCCTATCTGCCACCTGGGGACATGTCACGTAGCCTCGCGACTAACCGGCTCGAGATCCCTCATATGAGGAAGATCCGTAGGGGACCACACCACGGCAAATAACGTCTTTTCTAGCCATTTATGAAATTCCGCGAAACTGTTTGTACTCCGTAAGCCATGTATGATGTTGACCGATTGTTCGTTCCAAAATCCCGTATTTTTATCCATTGGTATACACATTGTTGCATGAGGTGAAATATGCAGAATATGATTACATGATGGATAGAGCTTTTGGCTTTGGTAAGTCCCTGAGGGAGATGCCATGTATTCAACTTTATTCATAGCATCGTCAGAGCTGATTTAATACATATCTGGGCTATACAATGACCAGATCAGCGTATTAATTCAGTGCTTTAATCTTTATTTACTGCCTATTATTTTTTCAGTTCACAGCAAGGGTTATTGCGGGTTCGAAACCCACACGGGTTTCTTCATCTTTCAGATTTCCTGTGATTGTATCAAATTCTGTATAGTTCTGTTCAAGTTGTGTATCTGTACAGTCCCGGATAATTCTAGTACCTATTTGCCGACGTTTGAGGATTGTATTGGTGAACCGAGAGAAAAGGATCTAGCCATCTATCAATCCATGGTGTATCACAGAGTGCTTCTAAGCACTGTGCTATATGCCTGCCACATGAGTACATACTGAATTAAGTCCTTATGACATTTGAAATCGTTTTTAAACAGTGGGAACGAAAGGTAGACACAGAACGCAACTCTACAAAACGGGCCCTAACGGTTTCCTTTTTATTCGCCTGTAGTACTAATAATTTTTTCATAAACTAAGGAAATTCGTAGGTTCATGCTAAAAAATTAGTCAGAAGGCTTATACTATGTAAGTGTTTCCTTTTCTTCTTATTTTTGGTTGGTGGAATTAGGTGATAGTGAAGGAGGAGAAATAGGAAAACTCGTGCTAAATGAATGGGGCCTTTCTTTTCTGTAAAAAGTGCAGAATTGCTCGATTCCATTATTCGATTAATTCATCCCCCTAAAGGTGTGCCAGGGCGCTTGTGGCGCAGTGCTCGGAGGAGCCCTGCAATACACACGTGGAATCGATCACCGTGCCCATGACCCACCAAGCTTTCCATCCTTCTAGGTCGGCAAATTGGTACCAGATTTGTCTGGGAGGATAGCAGCACTGGCTCGATACATCGGTATGCCACCGCGAATCATTTTAAAGGCCAGATATGCATTCACTCATCTCCAAACGATGCTTAATGAAGTCGAATGCATGGCGCATCCCCAGGGATTGATTAACGCCGAGAGCTTCACCGTTTATTATTTTTAAGGGTGTGCCATGCATTCTTCCCAGCGGTTTACTGCTTCATCGCGGCTGGGAGGTGTTCCTGGGTGTCCGTCTGCGATGTACAGCGGGGTATTCATCCCTTGGCAGGGTCTCCCAAGCTGAGTCCAGCGTTTCCATCGGGAAGCCTAGCTAAAAGTAAACCAGTACCAGAACCCACCACCGTCCTGGTATCAAAGTCGCATGGTGGCAAAAGTCTTTCTGATACACAAGGGCTGCGACTGCCTGTGGTAGTGACAACCTGGGGCAAACTTTGGCCAGGCTGACCTCTGGATTCCAGGGAACCACAATGGTTTAACCAGCAAATCTCCGAAAAAATGGACACCAGTGAGGACGAGCTATTCGAGTATGAAGTTAGTATCAAGTACTAGAATCGCTAACCTGTAAAAATGAAATGGGTTCGTTTCCGAATATCTTGTTGGTTTCCATCTTAAACTGCTTCACTGGCGGTGGTAACGTCGGTAATGGTGGCTTGTAGTTCGCAATACCGTCCTTGGACAGACGACATGGTGGAATCGGGTTCGACAAAACCGACTTTACCCAGAACATCGTTCGGTGCTTTACAACGGTAGCTCTGAATTTTTGCTTAATGCATTTTCTTACAATGAATAATGTTGAAACGTAACATAAGTGCTGCAGAAAAATAGGTTACTGAATGATTACAGTTGACCTATAACCAGTTAAAACTGTAATAGCTGGTTGTTACTGTCAAGAACTAAAGTCTTTAAAGCTTAAAAAATCCGATAGTCTTTGCTCTTCATTAGTTGGGAGCAAATCATTTTCTTATACCTATAGTTAAATACGTTTAATGTTAGCAAAAATAGTGAATACATTGAGCTTTCGCTATGCGGCTTCTCCTATGAAGACGACGGAGAACTCGGACAGCTCAGAGCACGGGACGGGTAGCCAGGGCAGGTTAATGTCAAAGTAATTGAATTCTCGTGTAGTCAAATACATTAGAGAGACGCTGCAGTCGATGCGAATATGATTGCGACGTTTTCTAATTTTAGCCTTTAAATTACTCTGTAGGACAGGCTTAGCAGAAATTGTACCGACGTGACTAGGTGGTAGGTCAGCGACTAGAATTAACGTTCTAGTCAACTTTAACTTATTACTTACTGCCTACTTTTTTTTAATAGCAGAGTATGTTGCGAAATATAACTCCAATGACGCTGAGATATTTGCAAAATTCCGTACCACAGGTACTTGCAGTGGGGATGCGCTATTGCCCTTTCCGGGGACTTACGCGTTCACCACCACGCCATGCAGGTCTCTTGCTCCGCCTGTCTATCGATAAGTGCCATCGGCAATCACCCGTCAGCGGGATTGATCTGGAGAATCCAAATCGAGAATGGACCCGTTTAAGCTAAAGCTGTAGTTATAATCACAATTTTAACTTATTATTTACTGCCTACCCTTTTTAATGGCAGGGTATGTTGTTTCCTAGCGCGGACACCTGTGGTCCGGAGTTTTGCAAATATCTCTACATCATTGAAGTTGTAGTCAATATAAAGTCATAGTTGCATCACCGATGACTCTCCATGAAGTAACTGATTAATTCCAATAAGAATAATGAATGTTGTGAGAGTTTAATGACAAGGTAAACGACAAACTTAATACGGATATATCATTATTACTTTATGAAGAATGATTTCTCACACAAATTGTACAGTGCGACTATCTTCGTCAACTTTCCACCAGAATCGCAAATGTCTCTTCTTCTCATCATGAGAGTGTGTTGCCGAGTCTTTGAATCTATAAATCTGCTTCACTGATTCAGAAATCATTATGTTGACAAGGATTCGACAGTATTCCTACCTGAAGCATTGCTGCTGCCATGAGCCGTTATCATCGAGCCGTATCAACTGTCCCATTCTAAGTGAGCACACATTTAGAAGGGTTACGATCATAGCGCCTTTTTGTTGCTTTGGGTTTACTTTAATAATAAAGAACAAGAATTACTAGTTAGTTATGCCAAGGTTCACACATTTATACTTCTAAAGAGATGGAATTCTTTTTCTCATTCATAACTCGTAGCCTTCTTCAGTATACCACAAACTTTTATGCTTCCCACTTTATGAAGCCATATTGGCAGTCTCTTCTAGCACAAAGTGCTTCACGCAACTAGGTGTTGATAAAAGTTGTTGCCTTACCTGCCACCCAGACGGCCGTTATTCCATTCAAATGGTTGCATAGCAAATCCTTTAAACCATACGGATTCATTTACGCCTTGCAGGTGGACTGAAGATTGTCTGCTGTGATAACAGTTAAATTACAATGAAAGCGGTTATCGTTTAAAAATCAGGATACTGAGATTTTAATGAGACGAGAATGCCAGGAAAGCTCCAAGTGTGCTTATAACTTTCTTATTTCTGTCCATTCATCATCTTATCAGTCTTTTAGTGCTTAATCGTGGCTGTGCAGAGTGACAGTTCTTGGTTGCTGCCTTATCTCAGTGCAAAATGATCTCCCCATGTGCAGCCACCTATGATGAGGAGAATTTCGATTCTAAAGTTATGTCGAGAGTGATTCAATGGTAGAAATTGTGGACATCCGGAAGGAAACCAAACGGCGAAGCGCGAAACCTGCCATTTATCGACGTAGGAAGATGGCTAAATGTGGTGATGACATGCAACCACGCTAACATTTTGACATTCCGGTGAAAATAAAACTTGCTCAGCCAACAAACTATCAACAAGATAGAAGTACTTCTCAGGTCTTCATAGCTCGTGAGGGTGAGCCTTCAAGGCATCCAAGTATCCATACAAAAACAAATAGTTGTTTAGGTTTTTGGATGGTTTTAGAGGCTGCATGCCGCTCATATTTTGAAATCTCTGAAGGATATTTTGTTCTAGAAAATGAATTAGCCCATTCTGCTAGAAGGATTCATTGTCCAATACGTGCTCTTTTGCGCTAGTCCGATTTTATTGTTAAAACTGTTTGTAACTAATCTGAGTATTGCCAAAGCCTATTCTGAATTCCTACATCCTGGGAAGATTTCCTATCTCCTATATTGGCAGATAAGCAAAAAATCTGCGAGCGCAACTTACGCATTCATTAGAAGATGAGCGAGGTGAATTCAAAACTCACGAGATATCGGTTGATTTCTCCAGTAGCACTTATGGTCCACTTTGATGTCATACGGTGGAACTGTCAGCTTAAATGGTTGTCATGTTTACACATATGTTGACATATATTTATATCTCCTACTTAAGATTTACACAAATGATGGAAAGGAGAAGAATGATTAACTACTTTGAATTTTTCTCAAGCGAGGCCAGGAACTGTTAAAAATCTATTTCATAGATTGTTTCGTTCTATTCGATTGCTTACATTAAGATAAACGTAACTACCGTTTGCTGAACGCAGACTACGAGGTTAAAAGCTTATTTGCTACCTGTACATCTAGACTATATGCATATATATAAATAAAAAATAAAGGATAAAGCTCTCGTCTTTGATCAATCCCTGAGGGATGCGCTGTGCATTCGCCTTCATTAAGCATCGTTTGGAGGTGATTGAATGCATATCTAGCCTTTACAAAGATTAATGGTAGTATACAGATGTACAGAGCGAACGCTGCTATCCTCCCAGACAAGTCTGGCACCAATTAGCCGACCCCGGAGGGATGGAAGGGGGCCTGGCGCGCAGGGACGAATCCAATGTGTGTTGCGGGGCGCTTCCGGCCACTGTGTCACACGCGCCCCTATATATATACATCTTTTTATTTTGCATGACTCATCTTCACGTCTATTGTGCGGATCCCAACACTTCAGTCATTCGATTCGTTTCTTCGCTTCCACTGTCCACGAAGATCTTCCATCTTTACGTGTGGCTTTTGTTGCTGGTTAAGGATTTCCATTTCATCTTGAATGCCGTAGAATGGTGGTCGAGAAATTTTCCCTCGAGTCCTGAGATAGCCAGGCCGGAGCTTTCGCAGTTGGTTTGCAGAGAGTGTTTTTTCCCAGGCAAGTCCGATACCAATTTCTCGACCACAGAGGGTTGAGAGGCCTGGTTGGCCCGGAGCGGAATGGAACTAGTACCATGTTCGCAATTCATAATGACGGACATCACTACCACTGTGCGATCCGCTTTCTATATATATATATATATGTATATATATTCCTTTTTAACTTTTTAAGCATATCCTACACATCTTACTATTCAGGTAGATTTGTGTGTGAAATCCTTCTGCGATATGAAAACAAGTGATTATCTGGAAATACTCTACTGTAGAAATGAAGAAGGGAAGCAAACTCATTTTTTATTGGAGCAATTGCATAGATTATACTGTTGTCGTCGTTTATTAAGTTTTATCTCTCCCAGTTTATGAGAACTTAATTAAGACCTTAATTTTTCCTTATATGATAGATAGCAAAATATTTTGACTCAGGGACTTGACCTTAGAACATTAATTCGTCAAGTTATTAACTATTAAAAAAACAAAGAAAGCTTTAGTCCACTGAGGTTGGTAACCTTTTTTCAACTGGAGTTTATACAAAATATATACCTGTAGGCCACCTTGATGTTCGACAGCTTCAAGTGGATTCATGCTTTCATAGGCGGAGTGAATGCATGGCGCACCATCTGGCCATGACAGAATGACTCGTGCTAGGATTGTGTAGAAAAGAAGTATCATTACCCATCGAAGATTCATTATTACAAAAAACTCCTCTTTAGAGACGTTGATTTGGTTGAAATATTGGCTAAAATAGACATTAATCGCCAACTTTGTATAGGCTTAGAAATAAGCTAACATATTGGTCATTCTCTCTGAATTTTCAAAAGATGGGTCTCAGGAAAGGGTTAAATGAAAACGATTGTTAGTAGAAAATTAGTTAGCAATAATTTAATTCTACCAGGAGCCAGTGTGAAGAAGGCAAAAAAGTAGTTTCGAACTCTGTAAAAGCTTGAAATTGAACTGTAGATGAATTTTCGGCATAGGATATGAAGAAGCGCGGCGAGTCGCTCGAAGGGAAAGATCGATGTAGGTACTTTGGTAAAACATCAGCGAATGCACTAGAGTATCAGAGCTTTACCATAGAATAAATCAATCAAAAAGACCTCACTCAATAATACTCAAAAATAATGAAAAACTTTTTAAACAATCCCACTTGAACAATTTACCGCTTCAGTTTGGGGATGAGTTTCTGGGTGTTGAACTGCCATCTATATCAAGGATTCATCGTTCCTTTAAGTTCACTCATTCTGAGAAAGAGTTCAACGTCTGCACTTGAATGTTCAACTAAGAGCAAATCAATGCCAAGAAAGGGCGATGTCCTTGAAGGAACATTTCCGTAAAGCGACAAATCTCGTGCCCGACCATTTTCGATGGTAAGTTCCAGTTGAAACAGCCTGAGAACACTTCACTGGTAGGCTATCTCCACACTCTGTGAGAGAGAACATTGTCCAACGAAAATACCAATACAGTGATAAATGTGCTTCGATGCCAATAATGCGTAAAGACGGTCCATCGACGTACTATTGAAGTACTAGGATTCACTAGACGCTTAGTATTTTTACTTCTACTGTCGTACCACAGTATTTATCATTATCCGTAGGTGCACTGGTTCAATTCCAGACGGCATGGCCTAAGTAATCTCTCATTCTTGCAAGTTCGACAAGTTAGTACAAAAATTTGCCTGCAAGAATAAAAAATAGGCTTAACATTTTGATGAGGCATCTTTCATTGATAAGTCAACACGAGGTTGTTAAATAACCCTTATTCTCCTAACGTTTCGATGTCTTCCTCTTCCCCAGAGCCGATGATCAAAGTTGATGTCCACAGTCTTTCGCGCTCTCGATATGTGCATCTTCGTTGTCGTTTCAAGCTGGACCTTCTCCAGTGGAACACCGTCTGAATAAGGTAACTATGCTAGGCTGTGCTCTTTTATTCAGCACGGTTGTTGTTGATAGTGACTGTCCCGGTGATAGTAACTTGTTTCTTCTCGACAACCATACTGCAGAAGAATCTGCTAACACAGAGCATAACAATATTTCAAAAACCGACTTTCCTTCAACTTCGGTGTGACTAATCAACATGTTTTCTTTGAGGAACGGAGGCTCTGGGAAAGATGAAAATGTCGAAACGTTAGGCGAATAAAGTTTATTTGCCAACTCATGCTGACTCATCAATAAATAGATAGATGTTGACTGGTCACGCCGAGGTTAAAGAAAAGTTGGTTTTTGAAATATTTACTTAATACATCGTTCCGGCGTCGAAAGTTGTTGTATTTGAGCCAACTTTGCATTAATTCACCTCCATTGTACTACGAATGATGCCGACTGAACTATTGAGGAAGAGATCAACGCTGAACGCCTTCGTCCTTTATGCCATATTGACAGTTATTTTTTGAAAGGAAGCTTTTCTTTCATGGTTGAACTTATTGTACATGAAGTTTCCTGCAGATTCGTTAGAAGCACAGCTGTTGGCGAAACTGGTCTGATTGGTCATCAAGCTACAAGTATTAATCGAATCTCGAAATCTGATCAAAGGCGAAGATTGTGCTGACATAATAAAAAGATATGATCGGTTTTTATGGAACGACGCAATCAGCACATCTACACAATATGATCCACTTAATGGTCCACACACATCGCCCTCTATTGGCTTGCCAGCTAGTGCCAAGCATCGCTGCTGTTGTGAAACAATACCCGTCGCAAAGTAGTGAATCTTCCACTGATACACAAAGCAAACAAATGCATACTGTGAATACTGGGAAACGCCCCAGCGTGATTCCAGAGAAATTCGGAACTCCAGAGAGAACCGTGATTAGCAGACATTCAACTTCTCAGTGAGTTGAAGAGATGACAGATTTCTAAGACACAAGAAGCCTATTGCAGGAATCCGAGTACCTTGGTAGACGATGGTTTCAGGACAGTAAAACAGAGAAAAGAACTATTTCGTGCTAAACTCTGTGTAGGAAAGGACATTTAAGTAAGTATTTACTTCCTATTTATTGAGGTTTGAGGGATTAATTTAAAAACTGTGCTATAATAATTGGTTAATTTAAGAAGTTTTGGGTCCAGACGATACTTTATTCATCAAATTTTGACTCGACCGATAATTTCTTGTGATACTGTGAAATTAGTAGGAAGGCAGATGCATTTGACATCGATCTATGTTCAATGCGATTAAATAAAAAGACATAACAAAGTGGAACGGCTAGGGTAAAAAAACTGAAGAAATAGAGAATGCTGACAATTTAAACGAACAAATGCGATAGCATTTTCAAGATCACCAAAGTTTATTCAGCGACGATGAAAGATTTTTATCGTTGTTCGCGAAAATTCTCAGCCAACAATACCTGCTCGTTATCCGTCGCTGGACAGATGGGACACAAGCACCTGAACTTGAACTGATCAACCGATTCGTATCTTTATAATGATAGATATCTATTTGTGGATAGCACTGGTTCTCACGAAATTCGTTTCCACGTTACGTCTTGGTTAAGAAATCAATAATATCCATTAATTTTCTGCATTTGTTCGTTTGTATGGCAATATGAATAGATCTCAATGCACAAAGAATTTTATAGTTGAGAGATTGTGTCAGTGTGGAGAATGACAAATAATTTCCGGAAATTTCTTAGTAGGATTGGAAAAGAAGTGATCGAATTCCTGAAGAGAAAACCTTTCAAAACAGCACGTGGCACAGTGGAAAACTTGCTGATGATACAAGGAAAAACATTTTGAAAGAGATGTGGAAACTGGAAATTCTTGCTTTTGTGCCACGTATAGCTCACACTGCAAGCATTAAGACGGAATCATAGGTGATTTTCAGTTTTTCCTCACGCATTGGAATCGGATGATGACTATTTCCAGTTTTTCCTCTCAGCAACTGCTCAACGATGTTTCCGGACTTCAGAGGCGATGGAAACAGTATTAAGGAGTTGAATATAGAAACCCTATACACTTCCCTTGAAAGGTTGGAGAAAAATTTTCTAAGGCTCCATTTGAAATTTTGATACCTTCTAACTTTATTAGGACAAAATCTGTCTGTAATATACTCCTCGTATATTCCCAATTTTTGTATAATTGCTAGCCTTCAGTTGCTTTTCTAAAACATTGACATTCGTGAAGCGATGATATGATCGATGTTGTTTCCAAGTTGTCCTTGATCGTCGAAAGCCTTCTCATCATTGTGGTTCTTGAGGGATTAGAACGCAATTGCAAGCGATTACACTCGGAAGGAACTAAAAACAAAAGTGTGCAAAGCACTACAAAACATCCTAGGTAGGTTATAAGGCTGCCTAACGACCTATCTTTATATCTGTTTTCATTCCAGGTGGATAACTTGTACTTGGGACGTCGCATTGAATAAAATCGATCAACTTCCAAGGTAAAGCACGTAGATAAGGGCAGCCATCATGGTACCACTTGAAAGTTGTTAACAAGAAGGTCATACTCCTTTCAGAGCTCACCAACAACAAAAAAAAGACCTTCTTATGGAAGTCTGTCTGGTTCAGGTTCACGTGTTGGAATGTTTCTTCGCTTAAGGCTTTTCTCTTTGAGTACCATTGAAGCACTGACGCAGTAGACGATCAAGCTCTGATCCCGCTCCAGCAAATTTTTTCGGAAAATTTTTATGTGTTTAAGAAGAAGGTAAGGAAGGGCGAGCACGTGTAATAAATTGCAGATTTTATATAGATCGCTTCTTCAAAAAAGATGTGAGAGCTATGTCGAGTAACTGTTTGAATTACCTAAGCTATTCGAATGGTCGGTAATCGATAGAGAGATGCCGAGAAGATTCTGAGACGTTCTATCTCAAACACACGTCTATGAGCTTAAGCTTATCAAGGAAAGAATACACACCGATTAGTCACACCGAGGTTAAAGGATGATCGGTTTTGAAATATTTTTACGTTTTGAACTAGCTAAAAACAAGTGGTTATGACCGGACAATCACCGCTATCGATAAGAACCATCCTGTATAAAAGGGCATCGCCGCGTGAGTATAGCTCATTCGAGAGAGATACTCCACTGAGGAAAACCCGGCTCGACGCCTGAGGAAGACGCCACCTCGAGAACGCGAACAACTGTGGACCATCAACTCGGATCATCTACTCTGATGAAGACGAAGCCGTCGAAAAGTTAGCCGAAAACAAACACTATTTATCAACCTCAGTAAGTTTACCAACGAAGGAACACATTTATGACTCTGTTGTAATCTTCTGTGCTTTACAACAGAAAATATTTTAAAGCGTTATTTTCAACTAATGTATTAGAAACATCTGTATGAAAGAAAAATAGGAAGGAGAGAAATGATAACGAATGGAATTTAAGTTGACATCAAAAACGATGAGTTTCATTAGGAATTTTGTTCATCCGTGAATAATAAATCGCCTGTTTCATCAAAAACCCCCTAATGTGGCGATTTCGGAAAACCCAGAGCTGCTGGAGCTTTGGCAGCTTGTTCCATGCGTTCTAGATCGCGCATTTTCAAGATAACTCCCTATGCTGTTCGAAAAGTAAGGAATTCCACTGTGTTTGTGAGGAGCACAAAGCCGACTAGGATTTCTTTCTGCACAAAAGAAAAGCATTTTTTCAAAGAAAAGTAACCAATATGTCCCATTTTATAAAGAGACATCAACGAATAGTTTTATAAAAAAAAACACTGTGCCGTTGGCTAACAAAGCCAACCACTATGAAATTTTC